TGTAGTGACATCCTAACTGATCTCTTTGTAAAATCATCTCTGGAGTTTGTTTCTCTACATCCAGGAAGCTTGACAAAATTCAGGTAGGGTAAACTCAGTGAGATCCACATGAAAACACATTATAATCTAACTGTTGAAATAAAAATACTAAGAGAAAATCTTGAAAGCAGTAAGAGAGAAGTGGCTGTCATGTACAAGGAGGCTTCAGTAAGATTAACAATCTTTTTTTTTCACCAGAAACCATGGAAGACAGAGGCAGTAAGATGGCGTATTTAAAGAGCTGAAAGAAAGAAAAGAAAAACAAAAACAAATAAAAAACCTATCAACCAAGAATTCCACATCTGGTAAAACTGTCCAAAAATGAGAAAGAAATTAAGACATTCCCTGTTAAACAAAAGCTGAGGGAGTTCATTACCAGTAGACTTCTTTCAAGAAATACTAAAGGAAGTTCTTAAGTTGAGGTGAAAGGACTAGACAGTAACTCAATACTGTATGAAGAAATAAAGATCTCCAGTAAAAGTAACTAAATGGGCAAATATACAATTGAGTTTTATTGTGTGTATAATGGGTAATATACCTGGTCTTTGTCCCTTGCTCCTGGCATGGAGTTTCAAAAACTTTGGAATTTCTTGAGTGATAAGAATGGTTTGTTATGCTAATGAGGCAACTTGTTATGGGTCCCTAGACTGCTTCAGGATGGAGGGGTTGGAGGCCGGGTTTGGTCTCCAGAAAGATGGACGTTGTGATTAGATGTTTGGAAATTTGGATCAGCCCAACCTCCAGGAAGGGGAGAGGGGCTGGAAATTGAGTTCACTTGTTTAGTGAATTATGCCTACATAATGCAATTCCAATAAAATCTCTGGACACAGAGGCTTTCTGGTTGGTGAACACATTGGTGGAATAGTGCCATGCCCAGATTCTGCAGACAGGGCATAGCAGCTCTGTATCCTCCCCCTGCACCTCCAGATACTTTCCCATGTATCTCTTCATTTAACTGTTTCTGATCTTCATTCTTTTTTTTTATCCTCACCCTAGGACATTATTGCATTTATCTTCAGATAGCCCGGAGGGAGAGAGGAAGGGAGAGAGAGAAACATCGAGTGGTTGCCACCCGCATAACCCCAACCAGGGCCAGAGATGAACCACAACCAAGGTATGTGCCTTTAGTGGGAACCAAACCTGGGACTCTCTGGTCTGTGGGCTGAAACTAACCACTGAGCAGATCTGGCCAGGGCCTGATCTGCATTCTTTATGTTAAAGCTGTAATAGAAAGTGTAGTGCTTTTAGGGAATTCTGTCAGTTGTTCTAACTGATTATCAAACCCGAAGGGATAGTGGGAATTCTTGAATTTATAGACAGTCAGAAATGTATGTAGCCTCTGAGGCTTGTGATTGGCATCTGAAGTGGGAGCAGTCTTTAGGAGGAATTTTCCCCTAACCTGTGGCGTCTGTGTTAACTCTAGGTAGTGTCAGAATTGAGCAATACACCCACTTGGGGTGGGAATGGAACATAATTATGTTTTTGCTTGTAACACCACCTTTTATTTCCTACATGATGTAAAAGATGGATACATAAAATTAAATCTGTTATTTGGCACAGAATGGATAAAGATGAGGACAGATATAGGCAAATGAACACTCTTCATTACCATGTGGTATTTGTCCCACACACCAGATGAGTGAGACTAGATTGTGTGGAGAACGCCCTCTGCCTAGAAGTCCAGAGCAGGCACAGCTGAACCCACCCCTTTTCCCTTATCCTCTTGACCTGCTTTTCCTCACCTCACCCATGGCAAGGAAAGATGTTTGCCAAGGAAAAGAATTCCAAGGAAAGCAAAAGTAAGTGTGTCTTTGAAGTCTAGAGCTTGTGTAATTGGCCCTTCCCAGAAATTCTCAGGGTGTAGCTGTTTTTAAGCAAGAGCCGCCACAGAGAGACTTCCAGAAAAATGGAATGCCAGAGAAACCATTTACTTAATGCTGTTTGTGTTCCAACAACTGTTCTTGCTTGAGACTTATCTGTAGTAGCACTCCTCCTGGGAGTCCAATCAGGAGACTAGAAAGTGAAGGAGCCAGGCACAGGTGTGATTTAGCCCCATTTGACATGAGACAGCAGAACCAGACATGGAGAATATGCATGGCCTCCATTACTGTTTTGCTTGCTTTATTTCTACCCTTTTTTGTTGTTGTTTTTTACTGTGTCCATTAGGGTTTGGAGGTGGGCCAAATGTTCTCATCATTTAACTTGATTCATAAGCCTTCAATATTTTTATTAGGTTTTCTAAAGCAAGCAAGCAAGCAAAAATATTTCCCAGTGTTCTGTGGAATAATAATGCTATTGAGCATCTCTACTGGCAAAAAGAGAAATTTTTGTTTACTGAAGGCATAGAAAATTTTCATTGTTAGACATGCTCTTCCAAGCTGTTGGCCAACTCAGGCGGCCTTGTTACCAAATCAAAGAAACTGTCCAACCCAGGTGTTTCTTATCCATTCACGCATCCATCTACCTACTCTGAGTATTTGTGAGAGGAAACCTGGAACAGAATAGCATGATAAAGAAAATAAAATGTCATCCATTATCCCACAATTTAGATAATCAGTCTTTTGGTTTGTATTTTTCTATGCCTACCCACTCAAATATTGTAACACTTGGGTCATTCTTATAGTCTTTTATAATCTGATTTTTGGGTTGACTTATGTAAATATCTTCCATGTTGATAAATATATCTCTGTATCATCATTTACATGGATTTTTAGTATTTAGTATTTTTATGTATTTTTAGGGTTTCAAATGTATGTGTGCTTAATGATAGCATAGTAGTCCCAGCATGGTCTGTGGCATCATAGACCCAGAGAGCAGGATCCCATGTTCCCAGGGTGCCCAGAGAACCTCTACCTGGGTGTCTCAGTAGCTGATGTCCTCTGCTGGAATGATAAATCTGAAATGTTGCCAGCTTCTCACCCAAATTGACCCTATCTCAACTTTGCCAAACTGCTGTTCTGGGGCCACTAGGCTAAATAGAGTCTACTCTATTTAGGTGAGTCCTTATACCATGGAGACAGAGGTCTCAAATCTTGGAGCAGAAGCTTCTTTGGCAGAATCCTTAAATCCAGCCGTTTCCAGTGCTCCTGGTATATAGTTTAACTGCTATAATGTTACCTGAGCAGCCCAAATCAACAGAGCTTCCATCAGTTCCTTTAGTATCTTTATTTGCTATGTACAGGAATCCCCAAAGGCCAGGGATGAATTATTGTACCTTGTTTACCAGTAACGAGCTCCCCAGAGAGTTTGTCTTATTTAAAATAATTCTGTAGCCTTACACCTCAAGTTTTGTCCTTAGACAAGTATCAGCTTCCCTGAGAACTTGTTTGAAATGCACATCTTGGGCCCTACCCACCCCAGAGTCACTAAATCAAAACTAGAAGTTCAAGAAGCACTGCATTATGCTAGCTGATATAACACTCCTAGCTTGTCATTCTATTCCCCGAGGATTCAACTGAACCTAATCCTGGAGGGCTAGGATTAAAGCTGGACTCTAGATCAGAACTTATTAATAAGGTACACACAATCCCTTGGGGATTTTGATGAAATGCAGATTCTGATTTGGTAGGTTTGGTTTGGAGGCTGGAATTCTGCGTTTGTCTCTTGCTCCTGGGTGATACTAATACTGTTGGTTCCTGGACCACATTTTGAGTAGCAAGAGAATAGCATTTCCTAAACCTTGTTAAACCATAAATATCACTGAAGCATGTATTAAAAATGCAGATTCCCTGGCCATACTCTAGACCTGTTATATCAGAATTCACTAACTCCTCAGGTGACTTCTCCAATTAGATGAGGTTGGGAAATATTGAGACAGGTAGATCAAAGTTAAATGTGACCCCTAAGAGAGGAAGGGATGAGGCACTGAGATGAAGCTAAAAGAAACTGACAGGCACTGATGGGCATGCCCTTGTCTCTCACCTCCAAAGCAAGGGGGCTATGTGTTTCCTCTAGTGGTTATATCAGATCTGGATTTGCCCCTGTAATTGATGCAGAGCCTCTTAGTTTCTTTTTCTGGTGCCTCGTGAGTGTTTACAGCATTTTCGTGGACTCTAAATCAACCCCAGACTCTCTGAGCACAGACTTAAAGCACCACTCCAAGTCAGAGTTCCTAAAAATGCCATTCATGAAGTGTTGGAGCCAGACTCAGATTCTGCTAATGGTTCTGTAAAAGAATTGGCTTCTTGAGCAAAGAAAACACACAATAATTCTCAGGGGAAAAATTAGAATGTAGGGAGTGGCAATGCTCTGAGTTTTTGGCCCTTCCTTGGAACTCCTGCATCTTGTTGCTATCACCACATTGACCTCCAGGGCATGTTGATTCTCCTTTCTCACTAGCTCTAGCACAAACAAAACAAAAGCCACTAATTCATTTATTCATTCACTCAACAAATAATTTTTGACCTTGTAAAATTTTCCAAGTACCTGGTTAGATGATGCAAATTCAAAGGATCAAGTGAAGTAACCTAACATGCTTATCTTATAATAGTGTCTGATATAAAGTAAGCACTAAATATGTTAGCTATTAGTATCTCAAACCCACCCCCAGATTGACCATAACAGGGCTTTCCATAAATATAAAACAAAAATTGCACTCTGGCCGGTTTGGCTCAGCAGTTAGAACAGACCAGAGTCTCTGGTTTGATTCTGGTCAAGGGCACATACCTCAGTTGCGGTTGGGTCCCTGGCCCTGGTTGGGGTTGTGCAGGAGGCAACCAATCGATGTGTCTCTCTCTTACACTTTATCTGAAGATAAATGAAAAAATATCCTTGGGTGAGGATTAAAAAAAAATTGTATTCCCAAAGGAGAGATATTTTGCCTCAGATGTTTAATACTCAATCGACAGATCCCACTTCACGCTGCAAGTACTGACTTCTATTTCTCCTTTGAACAGACTGACTTCATGTTACTTTAGAAGAGATTCATTTAAACAAAGGAATAAAATACACAAGATATAGTATTTTTAAAAACATTTTTTAATGAAGAAATAATTCCATTCCAAAATATAGACACACAATTAAATAGTGTAATCACTTCAAAATATAACATGTCCCCAGGAGGTTCCAACACACACACACACACACGCACACACACACACAACAATACTTAACAGCAATACAAAAAAAATCCATACAATAGTAGTTTTGTTACAATACTAATGAATATTGTGAAATCTTTAGGGTCTCTGAATTGGTTACTTCAAATGGTGTCAAATTACAGTAGTCATAATTAAAAATGTCTTACAGTTAATTAGCCTCAAGATGTAATACTTCTGTTTTTTTTTCTCTTTTTGGTTCAAAAGTAAAAATGCCCTTTCTTCTGAGGACACAGTGGAGTTCTTGTTTGTGGCTCCTTGCATGGAATCGAACCAAGTTGATTGCAGCAACCAAAAGTTGCTGTATTTACAATGTTTATCTACAGTTAACAGCCAAGAACTAATAAAGGTGGACAAAGATGATAAAAATAAAAGCAGACATCAGTGCTAAATTATGATGCAACAGTTTGGCTCATGCATATAAGAAAATACATAGTATATCACAACAAAGGCCACACTCTTATGCAATTAAGTTCACATTACTACTTACAAATGAACCTTCCCTGCCTTACCATTCGAGAATCCATTTTTCACAATCTCCAGCACATCTCCCTCTGACCAACCAAACTTACCCCGACTTCCATCCTGACCAACCACAACTGATTCCTGAATCCCATACAGTAGATTTCACCCTCCTCCTTCCTTCCATTACCATGGTGCTGTGGAGGAGGGTTGGCTGTGTTAGACCAGTGCTCATTAATAGGCCATCATCTCTGATGGAGATGGATGTGCAATTCATCGTGGAACAAGAAAGAAACACCCCCCACAAAATATAATAGTACCTAATGGACAGGACAGGTAAAACCTGCTGGGTTTGCTCTTAGAACAGGCCCCAAAAGTAAATTTGGAGAGCCAAGGAAAGAAATCCACCAAAAACCACAAAAACCCAAAATAACACACGCCATTTTGTCTCGATTACAGGACAGGGGTGCTTGAGTCTGGTCTCAGTGCTGACGTGGAGCTAAGAGAAAGAAAAGGTGGCTGGTTAGTCAGGAATTGGTCATTGGCAGCAGTTTCCAGAGTCCTTGCAATGGCTTTGTACGATGGTATCAACAACCGTGTGATGGAGTTGGCAATGAAAGCTACGACAAGGGGGAAGATTATCAGCAAAACAGTTCAAACCCTAGACAAACATTCTCATGTAGAAACACAAAGTGATAACATATGTCAGCACAGTGCAGTCAGTGGCTGCATGCCACCTGCAGGTTCAGAGTTCTGTGTTCAAGAACTACCTGGCTATGAGTTAGAGCTGACAGCAATATAGGTAGCTGGGATGTAGTGGTTTTAAGTACTGAGTATGAGGCACCAGGGACCACCTGCTCCATCTAGAGAGGTATGGTTTCACAGAAGATGGGCAGTGGAAAGGAGATGAACATTAAAATATATCAACAAAACCCGCAATAAAATCCATCTGTGCAAAGAAATCTGAGAACTGTGCAGTTGTGCCACTTTGGTGTCAGCCTGTTCTCAGGGACATTTGTCAGACTGGTCCTCTAGACGGAAGTATGATTAAATACATCAATGAATAGAATGGGTTCCTTACTAATGCCAGCTAAGAGCTTTACTATCCCCAAGGCAAGTGATTTTGTTCTAAAGGGCAGCCAAGGAGATGGTTTCTGACCAAATTTAGAGACAGGAATATCTTAGAGCCCTCTGGAGAGGGAGCTGGAAGATGTCAGGATGTCTGTTCTCAGCTGGGCACCCACCAACTACTGACTATTTGGGGTGGGAGAAGGTTTCTGCCCACCTGGAAAGAAACACCTGGAAAGCAAAATCGAATTGCTGAAGCTTTAAGGTTGACACAGAACCTTTCTTGTTCATTCTGAATAAGGCCTCTTAGAGATTTTATTATACTTTATTCTAAAGCAGAGGTTCTCAACCTTTAGCATGCATCACAATCACCTTGGGGACTTATTAAAACACAGATTGCTAGGCCAAACTCCCAGAATTTCTGATTCTATAGGCCTGGGTTGGGGCCCCAAAATTTGCATTTCTAAATAAATTCCCAGGTGATGCTAATGCTTTCTGGTTCAGAGAACACACTTTGAGAACCACAGGTCTAAAATGATGTTCTCTTCTTTCTTTTAAAGGACAAGTAGGAATTCCAGAGAAGCTGCCAATTTAAGTACAATGTATCTAATACATTGCAGGATTTTTATTTCATCAAATCTTGAAAAAGATAGGTTCTTTTTTCTTTTCCCAAGAATTCCTAAGGGAGGTTGTTAGTGCTCCCCAAAAAGAGTCCTTATAAAGGGCCATCAACGGAGTTTTTCTTTCTCCCTTCTTTGACAATTCTTTTGCACACCAGCTTTTCCCTGAGTGCAAAATCCCAACTCAATTTAGAAGAGCTTGTTTCCTTTCACATGACCACAGAAGGCTGCATGCAGAACACCAGCTAGCCAGCTAAGGCAATAAACATTCAGAAATAAAAGGAGAGCAAACGTTTTTGCAAGCGCACTTTAAGCCTGTACAATTAAAGCTGAAGGCCTCCAGACAACCTGATAGGGGAACTTGTGGATGAGTGGTGTTGTTAGAGACATGCTCCCTAACACTAAAATGAAAGGAACAAGACCATTGAAGAGCAGAGATCACGTTAGTCTGTTTGGGGATCTTATGGCACCTGTGGTTTATAAACAGCTTTAGTAACGAGTATTTCAAAACATAGTTCACAGTTTTAAGAAGATCTGTGCTGATTTTAAAAACTAGATTCTATATAATTTGAATGTTGTCTTTTTTTTTAATATGATATCTATTTGGAAAAAAATATTTACACTAAATTCTATGGCTGATTTGCTAGAATATCTTGAAAGAAAACAACCTCAAGTTGGAAAGAAGCCCCAAAGACTAGATTATCCTGGTGTGTTTGGTTCAAGTTACCACACACAGAGACTTGGAGACAACGGTAGACTGTGCAGGCCAAGGACCTCTGAGTCTGTACACTCAGGAACCAAATCCTTCAGAGTCAATGAATAATTGCAAGTGGTTGTTTTTTCCCAATTGCTGTGGAAAAAATGTACATTGTATAATAAACTCTTTTGCTAAAATCTCAAAGAATTCAGAAATCAAACCTCTAGCTATAAACAGTATTAATATTGTCACTGTAAACTGAACAGGTTCAATATCATGTGCAAAGGTTTAAAATGCTTGTTAATACTGCCATCGTGAGTAACAGCAGCATGGGTTTTCAGCCTGTGACTTTTTTTTTTTTAACCAGGGATGAGCCACGTTACAGAAGATATAGCTGATAAGTTAGTTTTGAACATAAGTCTTTTTTTTTGTTTGTTTGTTTTTTTCCTTCTTAAAACACACAACTATGAACTACAAATCTTAGAACAAAACGTTAGCTGCACTATAGTCAGCAGAACACATCTTTAGGGGTGGGGGTCTGTCAGGAGCTGCTGGGTATGGTGGTTCCTCTCTCCGGTGAGGTTGCTGCCAGGCTGCTGTCTTCTCCTCTGTGTGGGTGGGTGCAGCTCCCCTTCATCACCAGCTTTCATGTTACTTTCTGACTATAGTTTGCCTGGGAATAAGGAATGTGTCATTTTTTTTTAAAGATGAAAACTGTTCTCTAAATCAGGATTAGGAAGCTTAGGACCCCTCCCTTTCCCCCTACACACACACACACACACACGCACGCACGCACGCACGCACACTCTACTCCCTTCCTCTAATAATCAGGAATGAACGTCCTGGGACACTGTGCACTACTTATTGTACCTTCTGAAAGAAGGACAAATATCCTCATGTTGAGTCTCTTGCTTAATGGGAACCTGAGGCATCTGGAGGGTTAGAGCAATGCAAAGCTGTCCTTTGGACAAGGCGATAAGAACACTGACTCACCCTTAGAATGCCATGCTAATTAAAAAAAATTTTTTTAAATCCACTTTTCATTTTCAAATTCCCCAATTGCTGAAGTTAGGCTGTGGCTGGCCAAGGAGAGTGAAATACCATGTGGCCAGAGGGCCAAAATGGAGTTTTGGTGGACTTCAAGTTGAGTGCTAATCTTTATGAATATGGTTTCTTCCAAAGTGGCTAGTTGAAAAACAATAAACTAGGTTTTATTGGTTTTTGTGTTGAGAAGTGCATATTTATCCTCAAATAAGCCTAAGGCTCTTTTTGAGCAGAGGATGGGTCTTCCATGCCTCTGGTGTCCCACCTCATGACCTTTACCCATGTAGGGCTCTGTCAGTGGAAGCCCAATTGTCTTTGAGTGGATGAAATCGCTGGCTTTAGGACCCTTGGATAAGAGATGCATATATTTTGGGATAATTTCTTGTCTTGCAGTATAGTCAGAAAGTCAAACAATAGGTTTGAATACCATAAACTACTCTAGAATTCCAGGTGTATTTCTTGGCTACATCAAGAAAAATTACAGTAGGATAGAACTAGCTGCAGAGAAGAAAAGCCACTAACTTATGCAGGTTTCTGTCAGGTTTTAAATGAATTCTGCCTAAGTGACTGATTTAGTGACAGGCTGGCTCATGTTTAGAGTCCTGTGCAATGCCAGCTAGGTAGGTACAGGATGCATTAAATGGCACAGGCCACAGCTGTGTTAATTTTTTACTGTCAAATTTGTAGCCAAGATAAAACATTGCCTAAGAACTTTCAAAGTACGAAAATATTTGGCTTTTAGGTACAAGAACCAAATGCCACTTTTTATCTGGGTTTATGTCAAGGACAATTTATTAGGTTTTTAAAAAAATATTTTTCTAAGAAGTAACTACTGGTGTTTAAATAACGTGCAGAACAAAAATAATCAAATTGCTGGAGCTAAGAGAAAGAAAATGCTATTAAAGGAAAAAGCTTGCTCCTTTGGGACTAGTTTTGTTATAACTGGAGTGAATATTTTCAGAAACAGCTCCTGAGAATTTTTTCACTGTAGTTGTAATGTATCAGGAGAGCCTGTGGTGTAGCATTCTTCAATCCAAGGGAGGCAGAATAGATTGGGGTCAATAAGATCCCTCCTTTCACACCAAAAGGGCCTCACAGCTCCAAAAGTATATTTCATAATAGCAATTAGGCCATGATGTTTACTTGCTTAATCTTAACATGAGGACTGAGACAGGAAGTGTGTAGTGTTTGAGCTGGAATATACTCTTTATTAATTGATGCCATTTAGGAGATATATATCCCGTTTACAGTTTAGCAGCCAGAGTTCAGTTTACTATCAACTGCACTGTAGACTACGGGATTCCATGGTTGGAAGAGGCTGTGTAACAACTGTAGATACAAGTCCTTGGGTCATTGCAGCCAGATAACTGTGAGATAGGTATTAGCTTTGAACTGTAATGAGGGACATCTACGTGGCCATTAGGTGGTGCCAAAGAAACCATCTAGACTTATGGGACAGTGGAGCTGAAGGTGTAGCGAATCATTGCACATAGCTGAGTCCTAGCCTTGTTTATAAAAAATAGAGGGAGGAAGCTAGTTATGAGTCCCAGGGTTTCCCATACATCTACATCATAACTACAGTAGCTCCCGGGGATTGAATCGCTTATAAAGTACTGAGCATAATGCCACACACGTATGAATGTGCTCATCAAAATTATAGTGTGCCTGCCACTAAGTTAAGATCTTTAAAAACTGTACTTCAGTGAGGACAACTCCTCTATGATGTAGGTATTTCATGTGTGTTTTACAGAGGGAATGGAGGCTCATAGAGGTGTAATAATTTGTCCAAGGTTATGCTGCTAGGATTTGATGAAGCTCTCATTTGAAATTGGGTCAATTAAAGTCTAGAACCTAAGCTTCAGACCACCACACTCCAGTGGTCCTGACAGTTGACAGTCAAGTGCTCTTCTCTCTCCATTAAACATTTACTGAGGATCTTTCATGTGTGTAGGTAGGTCTTTGGCACAAAAGATCACATGCCACATAAGTGATATTTTAAATTGCTATGGCCTCCTGAATTTCACAAAGGATTTGAATCAGCTACTCCAAAAATAAAAGGCTGCAGAGGTTGTCCTCTATATTTTGCACCTTTTGTTTTTGCTTTTGTTTCGGTTTTTCTTTCACTTGTTAAAGATACGTTTTTGACCTTTTGGGTCCTGAGGACAGCAAGACTAAAGAGCTGACCCATCTTTGGAAGTGCTGAGCAAGTCTGGGCTTTTCCTTCTCAAATGAGAGAGGCTCAAACTTAGGCGCTGTTATGGATTGTTGATGTGGCTTCTTAGCCACAGACTATTTCTGGGGCATATCTGGTGTTATAAAAGTTTCTGTGCCATTTTTCCTAATTAATAAAATTAAAAGTCTACTCCCAAGGTTGTTTGCCAAATCTCCACTGGTTTGTAATGGAATGCTCCATGGACTGGGATGATTCTTTGACAAAAGCAGAGAAGGAGGATATTTTATCACATAGAAACACCTAAGAGAAAGTGATTGTGAATTTAGGTTACATGTTAGGAGAATATAGTGTACAGTGGCCATATTTCCTCCTAAATGAGAGGGTACTTACTTGAGAGGAGAGTGATAAAAGGATATTGTGTTCAACCTTGCAAGCTGACCTGTGGGTGACAAAGGACACAAACAAGAAAGGTGACATGTCAAGTCTGTGATGCAGTCAAGCTGGTGAATTATTTGGTTGGAAGCCATGCACAAAGACAGAGAAAGAGAGTCCAGCGAGTGACAGTAGTGTTCCGATCCATCAAACAACCAGATGCTCACAGAGCAGTCACGGAAAACCACGTCAGCGTTCTCCAGGGCATGTGTCTTGAGTGGGGACACACAGGCCTGTTATAGTCTCCCAGCCCTTTCCTTTGCCTTTCCTTTGAAGTTACTGGGCATGGAAAGGAAAGAAGAGAGAGGAGAAGCTTAAGATTTACCAGAGATGGTGAAAGCTCCAACTGGATCTGAAGCTATTAATAGAATTTCCTTTCATTTTACTCATATATGGTTAAATTCCTAATTCATTAAAACAAATACAAATCTCACATTTCATATGGAGTAGCTACCTCCCTTTAATATAAAGCCTAGAATTTCAATTACTGTTGCCACCCAAATCCAGAAACTGATATGAGCTCTAAGAGGGAGGCCTAATGGGCACCTCTAACAGCATGAACCAGAATACTGATTATTTAACTACATGGCTCTCTCCCTCTGTGCAGGAGAGCAAAATGAGCTATGTGTAGAACATTCTCAGAGTTCCCAGAGACACCCTGGGAACTTCATCCAGCCTAATTTCCTTCTGTGGATGGGCCATAGAAATCTCAAAGAAAGAGCCTCCTCCGTGGGTCTCTGCTTCAGGTGCCTTGGACTGTTGCTGCAGTGTTGAAGCAGGCATTACACATATAGTCACCGTTTTGGCTATTTATTTTTGTATGACTAAATCAACATTTTACTTGCTTCTGAAATGTGGTTGTTAAACCAAAAGGGCGAATGGACAATTCCAAAGAGGCAAACTATTGTTGGAAAAATATTTCAAAACTTAATTTATAAACATGAGAAATAGAAGGTAATTTATTCTCTCTGCTGCTCTTTCTTTCACTGACAAAATAAGAGAAAGCCACAGCTGACCGAAGAATGTAGAAAAAGTTCTCTGGCCATTGACCAGAACGCTTGAGGATAAAAGAACTCAGTGGGGCCTGGGGAGCAGCAGGTCTCAATCAGGAAAAACATGGCCAAACTCCTGGAACCCCAAGAAAACAGGGAAACATACAAGAATGACAAACATGGCAGTAGAAGAGTCTCCATGGGAACAATGCATTTCCTTTACGGTGAGTTACTAACTACATTTATTCCCAATTGTATGTGTTATGTTCAGTAAATTCTCAGATGGTTTAATATAGTCCAGTGTGTATTCTACTGAACGTGGGCCTACAGTTCCCTCCACCACTTCCCAGTAGAGTTTGTCACTTGCCTACTGTTTACATTTGACATGAGGTAGGAGGTGAGGGAGGCTGGGGACAAATGATTCCAGGGAGGAGATGTGTTTATACTTATTCAATTTCCTTATGCCCTGTTCTCTGTACCTTTATTTCATCTATAAGAAAAAGCATTTTTCCTGATGATCTTGCAGGAGTATGGACTGTTAGTCACCATGTTTCTACTAATGTGACAAGGCCTCTTTTCACTTTCCAGATCAGAATTTATAATACAGGGTGAGTGACAGCTATACGAAGTAAAGATTTTCAGTGTCTAGAATATATAGACTAAGAAATGCAGTCAGAATATTCCAGAAAGGGAGGATGGAAAGAAGGAGAAGTCTCTGATTTTTTCGAGTAATGGAAAAGACCCAGCTCCCAAGGGGAGCAGAAGTGGGGGGTGGTGTGGGCCTGGCTCTCGGTACCTGATAGCCTTCATCCTGCAGCTTCTGTTTCAGGTATTCCTCCATCTTGAGTTCATTCTCCAGCTGCCGGACTGAGTCATTCTCATAGTTCTCCTCCTCGGGCCGCATGTAGGGATCCCCATCTTCTGTACCCCTGGGAAGAAACCAAAGATGGAGTTTGGGATCAACTCTTAAAAGGAAAGTCTAAGTGACATTCACGTGTGAGCTGTAGTTTGGGGAGGCACATTTTCTTTGTCCTCCATTTCACTTCTTCACTTCAATTTAGTGTCTTTTGTTACCTAACAGAAAACTTAAAAACACACACACACAAAACAACTATGGAAGTTTAGGGAAATATATGGTCAAGGTATTCTCATATGCAATTTTTCTATGGCACTCTGGTCATCATTGGTCATCTATGTTTTTCTAGAGTTTATAGGAATGAGTTGCCCTTTAAATGTTTATCTGATTTAAAAAAGGCAGGCTGACCTTTCAGGTAGATATTGTTATTTCCAATCAGGGGCTTTCTTTCTTTCTTTTTTCTTTTTTTAAAAAAAACAGAATCCAAGAACAGTTTCAATAAGGAAAGTGAGCCCTCTAGTGAAATAAAGATTAAAGACATTTGTTTCTAACTTAACGTTCTCTGTGTTATGCACGTGTGTCGGCATGTGTACCTGTGTGCTTTATTTTTATAGTGGAATCAAGTCTCAGAATATCAGCTAATCGATGTCAGGAAGGTTAATACTCTAGCCCATAGCTCTTGGTCTTAAGAATTTATACTAGCTCGAAATCTAAGAAATCCATTTAAATTGTCCAATTTCACTATGAGGTAAATAGATAAGAATGACCTCAGTCACTCATGTGTGACTCTCTCCATCTACTCATCCCAATATATAAAGTTCTTAGCACATAAATTCACTACCTAAATTATATGACTAAAATATTCTCAGGGTAAAACACAGTACATGTTTAGATAATACAGATATTAAATTATCCCCTAAAATGAAAAGAGTAGTCAAGGAGAAGTTTTTGGATGGAAACTTAAAAGCCATTGCTCATGTTTATTTATATCTGTACAACATGTTCTCGTTATTTTTAGAGGTTTGGGGCCAGCACAAATAGGTCCGCAAGGCCTCTGTGAAGTTTCTCTCTTCAACTCCTGTGGCAGTGTTGGTAGCTGGAACTGCCACCAGCATACTGGGGACAGTAGAGTGGGATGGCTTTGGCTACAGTCTTGGATCTTAGGACTGGAATGAGAAAATTGTAAGTAACCACCATGTACATGCTTAATCATAGAAAGTCAAATAGATATGTGCTTACCAGATAATACTGGTGACAATTACTTCACCATTTTGAATAACAAACAAATTAAATAATTCTCAATTATAGAGGAAAGGCCAAGAGAGCAAACTAAAATTAAAAGCAGCAGCCCACTGGCATGTTCAGTTACGTTATAACTGTTTTGTTCTGCTCTTATGTTCTGTCTTTTCACAGCTGGCTTGCAAAGCATGTCTATTTATAATTCCCCATTAAGACTGGACTTTTACTCACTGCTTGGATTGGGAGCCAAAACACCAGAAAGGCCTCTGTTTAGTTTCTTCTTTGGGTCTTTAAAACAGCCAGTTTATTTTTGTAGACTGGTCTGCAGTACTTTTCACATTAAGCACCATCATCTTCCTGTAGTTTTTTGAATGATTAGCAATTCCCTTTTGCAGCCTTTCAGTGAACCTCTGCCCACATTTCTCACAACTTCAAGTCTTGCTTTCTTAAAGGCCCACATTCTTCCCTTCCTTGGTTTTACTCGTTTGCCTCCCAGCTGGGTCCTGCAGCTCTGTCCTAGCTTCACCCTTGTTCCTCTGCTTTGGTTTCCTCTGCCTGACTCCTATGAGCTGAACCAGCTTTAAAAAAAAACCCTAGAGGGGACATCACCATTCTGCTGGCTTCTGTCAAGGTACAGAGGCCTAAATGGGTGAAAACCTTTGCAAAATGTCTTTTGAGGGTCAGATTTTAACGTATTTAACAAGTCAACCAAATTGGATTTCTTTATAATGAGATTTTGTGCATTTACATACATGCGCCGCATAACAGCATTTTGGTCAAGTACCGACCACATATACAACAGTGGTCCCATAGTTTATAATGGAGCTGAAAAATTTGTATTGCTTAGTGACATTGTAGCTGTCATAACATCATAGTGCAACACATTACTAATGTGTTGTGGTGATGCTAGTGTAAACTAACCTGCTGTGCCAGTTGTATAAAAGTATAGCACATAGTACTTGATAATGATAATATATGACTATGTTACCAATTTATGTATTTACTTTATGTTTTAGTGTTATTTTCTACTAAAAAAAAAAGTTTGCTGGTAAACAGCATGCTGTATTATGGCGGCAGCAGCCCCAAACATCTCGTGTGCACTTGTCTCCTGATTGCATCAATTTCTCTTGTGCTTGATTTAATCTGATGATGTTTTCTGCAGTGACATGCTGTATAGGCTTGCAGCCTAGGAGTAATAGAGTATACCATACAGCCTAGGTGTGTAGTACGCTATACCATCTGGCTTTGGGTAAGTGCACCCTATCATGTTTATACAAATGACAGAATCGCCTAATGATGCATCTCTCAGAAAACATCCCTGTTTTTAAGTGGTGCATGACTGTTTTATTTCAATTCCTATAGCTTATATGATGTTCATCCCATTCTGAGAAAGACCCCTCTGGCATCATGGGGTCCTCCAAGTGCAAGTACAGAAAATTCAGAAGATAGGATGACTTATCTCCTAAATTGGTCTGCGAGTCCTGGAAGGCTGGGAGGGGTATATTTTTTTGTACTAGTTTGTATCAAACTAACACAGTGCCTTGGGTGAGCCAGTCTTTCAATAAGCACCAGTTGGTTTTGGTAATTGATACTTTCTGGAAATTGTGACTGGTTTGGGGGGTTGGGCAGAGTCAAAATGCCAAATTCAAATGTAGCACCCTTCTACCTCTTCTGTCAGAAAAGGAAGCTGCATCATCTCTTTTCAAAATAAAGAACAAAACAACCATATTTTCATTTTCCTATGCTCCTTACAGTGTCCTGTTACTGAGAAAATACCGCCAAGCAGAAGATACTCACACATCACTGCGCATAGTGCTTGGGGTAGCTCCACTGTGAATGTACCCAGGTTTTCGGGCATGGATTTGCGCTAGGAAAGCCTTTTCAGAGGTTGGTGATGGAACCAGCTCCTCAAACTGAGCCCTTGCAAATTCAGAATCCACATTACTCTCCGTTTCACTCCCCACCTCTATTAGGTATAATGAAGAAATAAAGAATGACTTGTTAGAGTTAACATAAAGTGCTAGACTTAATATTAACCAACTTGTGTTGTATAAAATATTTACCAGTTATTGTATGTAAGTCAAGTAAGTGGTTATTTCAATTCCAAATGATAATCGAAACTTGACATGAATTACTGTAAAATCATTTGGTATACGGTATTGTCTCTTAAAATCTCAGTAATGTTATGAGGAATCTTTTGAGTCTTAAAAACTTAAAACTCTTGTTTTTTCTCCTTTATAGAAGTCTTCAGTAAAACTGTTACTTTTGCTTAATATTACTTTAATTTAGGAAATATAAACCTAAAGTATTACATTCACTTACTATTTCAAAGTATTATAAGAGTATAAACTAACAGTACCTGATACTTCTACAATAAAAACAACATTGTTAGTAATTGCTTGCTAGGGTAGTGGGTACCTACCATTAACCATGATGTATTAATTACTGTCATTTTTATTCTATTTGGTAATCCTAATCTAAAACTGCAGCAATGATTTTCATTACTTTAATTCTTTTTATGGAGGTCTTAAGAAATTTAAAGCCAGATTTTAAAAAATATTGAAGTGTTATTTTTTATACTTGTTTCAACTACATGACCACAGTTCTGCCAGACAAATATCTTGCTAGATGTGCTTTAAAGAATAGATGAGATGCATTAGTAACTGGTAAAACAGCTATTTGAATATTCATGCTGTTAATGTTTTTAAAACTCTGTGTAGCATTATTAGGATAAAAAGACTCACAATTTTGTGCTATTTACATTCTGGGCAGATCTTTCTTTAGAGATACCGCAAGGGTAAATTTCAGGTGAGCCTCATTCAAATAGCCATGCATTTCAAATGAACAGTCTAAATTAGTAAATAAAACATTTGACCTTATGAAATAGCTTCTGTATCATGTCACTTTGAATCATGATAGATGTTAACAGTGACTGTCTTTGGTTTCTTGAATTATAAGTCGATTTTAATAATTTTCTTTATCCTTTTCTACATTATTAAACTTTCTTTATTAAGCATGTATTAATAATCTTCTTGTCAGCAAATATAAACATTCATTAAAATCTTGAATATAGCAACAATATATCACATAGATCTTTAAAACATTGTTTTATATTAGACAATGGGCAGATCTCTAACAGAGGTCCCAAGTACTTTTGGGTTCTTCTGCAATGAGCAGACAAATGAGAGGGGACCAGGGACGCACCGGAATTCAGCTCTTTCACGAGAGAGGACATGGTGTTAGTGATGGAATCCGCTGCCACTAGTAAGTCATTCCTTAAATTTCTTCTGGAACCTTAAGTGAAGAAGAAATGACAAAAAAAAAAAAAAGTCAAAGCTTTCCTTTTCTCCAACATTTTAAGCTTTTATTATTGCCATTCTAAAGCAAGAAAAATTTCAAGACTTCTTCTTTTTAGATATGCTTTGGTTCATTTCCTGAAAAAAAAGTTTATTGTACTTAGGGCAGTGGCCTCTGATGTAGGGAGACATGGCAACCGGTGAGGGTTCCTATAATTTATTGTCCAAACTGGGACAATTTTGCAAGTGAAAGGGGGAGGTATTAATAATAAGACTGGGTGACCTGGCACAAATGGGGATGGTTCCAGGTAAATCAGTACGCGTGATTGCCTTTCTTAAGAACAACCACACAGATGAAAGTCTGCTTTGGCCAGGAGAGCTGCGCCTTCCTAGCTGCTACTATTATTCTAGCCATTACCTGGTAGCTGAGCCCATCGGATGCTGATCTCTATCACCACAGCCCCTGTGTCCAATCAGGTCTCCAGGAAGTCCCCCTCCTATTATAGGTACCTCATGGGAATGGAAAACTTGTGCACTGAATGCCCCCAGAGTATGGAAAAGAGGTGACAATTCTTGCTCTGGCTGCCAAGACTGGGCAAAAGATGTATGTCTGGTACCCTGAACTGGAACTTAGACCATGTTTCTTTATGGTAGAGAAAGATTAGTATGATGTTTCAGGCATACTAAGAGTTAAATGGGTATCTGTGGACTGGCGTAGGACCAGCAAGGTTGAGATGGAACAGAGGGCTAATCACCATAATCTTTGGAAAAAAGGGCTCAGGATTCCAAATACCTCACTCACAAATGAATGAATTCAGCACAAGCTCCTTGTGAGCTAGGCCACATTTCATTCTGTCGTTTCTCAGAACGTAAAACTAAATTAGTAAAATAATAAATACATGAAAATGAAAAAAAAACCCAAAGTAGTGAGATAAAACAGTAATTATATTAGAAAGTTCAAACTGATTTAAAATCATTAAAGTAAAAGGGAAAGTACATTTTTTCCTTCTGAAAAAAAAAAGTTATTTTGTATAACAAATTACTTTCTTTATCAGAAGAAAAAGCTCTATTATGGATCTTCCCTTTTCCCTCATAACAGAAAATAACAGCATTCTTTCTCTAGAAAATGTAAGACTTTGTTCCCCAATGGGTGAGAGGGTCTGTTTCCTCATCTGGATATTATTGATGTTTAAGAAAGTTGGTTTTTTTAATCTGCTAGACAAAAGGTGGTATTTATTAAAATTTGTATTTTTACAATGATTTGTGAGATTAAACATCTTTTCATAGTGTTATGGCAATTTATATTTCCTCTCTGTTCATATCCATCTCCTATTTTTGTTTTGGGAATGTCTTACTCATCTCTATATGCTTTATGTCTAATTGAAATTATGAAACTTAACTGCCACATATGTTGGTTTATTCAAGTCTATCTTTTTTTGTCTTCTGACTTTGCCTATGTTTTTTTTTCCTTCAGATAAATTCCCAGAAGTGAAATTGCTGTTTCTTTTTGCCTTAAAACTAGTAGTAAAATATGTCTCTCTTTACCTCAAATATTTATGTAAGAACCTGGAAGAATACCATGATAAAATGCTAATTTAAAGAAAATGCAAATTATGGACCAAAGTAAACATGGGCTTATTTGTGTGAAAAATAAAGAGTATGTGTTTGTAAAAACACACTTAAGTTGAGCATCGACCCATGCACCAAGAAGTCGCTGGTTCGATTCCGGGTCAGGACACATCCCCAGTGTGGGGCATGCAGGAGGTGACCAGTCAGTGTTCTCTCTCATCTGTGTTTCTATCTCTCTATCCCTCTGACTTCCTCTCTCTCTAAAATCAATAAAGGAAAAAAAAATTAAAAAACAATAACACACTTAAACGTGTGTGTGTGTGTGTGTGTGTGTGTGTGCAAAAAGTTGAGAAGGACCAAACTGTTAATAGTGTTTACTTCTAGCAATAAGATTGGCAGGGTGAAGGTCTGCAGGAGGATTTTTTTTCTAATTTTCCCTAAATTTCAAAAATAATGGCAAGAAAAAGTTTTAAAAAGTGTTAAAATATTTCCAAATGAATAAAATCACTTGCCTCTGGCTAAGTACTCCCCTCAACCCCAACTTCGTGTATGTAAATGGAAGAGGCAGCCTTGGGAGAATGCTGTTTGTCATCTCCCTTCACTCGTTGCACTTCTGTTAGCTGTGGAGGCCTAACCAGGTAGCCCCATATTGTAGAGGCAGTGAATCAACTCTTAAGGGCATCTGTAAAATGACTAACCGTCCTTCTTGATCACCTCAAGCTACAGAACTGAATTGTTCAATCTCACCCTTGAGTTTACTTTCATGTAGAGAGAAGAAAGCAGGAAATAAGATCTTTCAGAATTTTAAAATGGATTACATTTATAGTTTCCTGAGATATTAGTGAAAGGATTTCCTTCCCTTCCCATAATGAGCAGACTCATAAAAAGTGGGGCAGGGCAATAGAAACCAAAGAAAGGTAAGATGGTAGGAACAGATGAGCCTAGGAAGTTTCTAAAACAGCACCTGCGCCAGGCTCTGACAGAAGTCATGGAATAACCTAGAATATCCACGGTGTGGCTCTGATGACTCTGGACTGCTCAACACACGTGGTGACGTATTTGTCCCATAAAAGCAGAACACAACAGAAAATAAAGCCACTTACTTTGTGCAAACGCCTCCTGTACATCTCCCCCTACCCCTGTGAGAGAGTCCTGAGGAGTGTGAGTCGGGGTGGAGCAGGCGGATGCTGACCTCACGGGCATGGGGATGGGCCTGCTGATGGTGTGGCTGGGGGAGGAGCGAGGAGAACCTGCCCCCTGGGTCTGGAGAGACAATGCAAGTCATTAATTTGTTTTCCCAAGAAAATGCCATCCACCCCCAAAGCCTCAGTCAAATGTTAAAAACAGTCACAGTAAAATTTTAAAGCAGGAGGAAATCCTAGGTAACTGAGATGGGCCTAAACCTGTGTAGCAGGTGCAGGTGATTTAGGACCTTATTATGCATTATCTGAACTTTTGGTTACATCTTGAAAGCTCAGAATATTAGTAGAGCATTGTTCCATAATATATGAGATGGGTCCCCAGGTAATGAAGCTACTGTTAAGCAGTGATAATTACAAGGTGTGTCTACTTTCTCCTTGAAGAAAGTGCTACATGGAATAAAAAGACATCTGAGGAGAAAGTTTTAAGTAAAAACTAGGAGGCTTTGGGGGATGGGTATGGTTTGGACACTTCCTAAATTTTCAACCTGTCTGTCCTTGCATCATCTGTAGAGGATATCTGTAGTACAAATCATGCATGCAATACTGTGCATAGTAAGTCTCAAATTAAGAATCAAACAAGACATGCGTTTTTAAATCCCTACTTTACAGTAAACATTGGCTCTGTCAAATTGCTCTGTGATTAGGGGATTTCAATGGGGAAGAGAAAAAAGGAAATCTTAGGTTCTAATCTTTGTCTACTCTTTCCTTGCAGGAAATGTTCTTTTCTTGGTCTACAAAACAGCAGTGTTCTAGCAGTAAGAACAGTGGGATTTAAAATGAGTGAAGAAGAAAGTAGAAAACAAGTAAAAGCCATTTATCTCTGCACTACAGTCCTCAGCATGAAACCATCCTGTGACTGCCACACCTTGAATTTCACAGCTTTGTCTCTGCGGTGAGGTCTCTTGGAAACATTTTCTCTTTTTAATAATTAGTTTACAAAGGAAGCCAGTCACTCACGAATAAGAAAGTGCAAGGAGACCCTCAGCGCATACACAACAGATTAGGTATTGACAGAAATTCCATGTCAGTCTGTTGGGTTTGGTCGGGGAGGGTGAAGGCTCTGCCTCAGCAAGGCCCAGGGATTCAACTCATTCAAACCCCGACGTGCACCATGAGAGCAGTGCTCTGGAATATTTGACTTAGATTTATGCTGTGGGTTCAGCTGCTTGCAGTTAAAACACACAACCTCAATTCTGTAAAATGCCATGCTGTTAGCTTTCCAGGGCTCAGTATCACACATAAAAGTCAAATCTATAAATTGAGAAAAATCCAGAATTACAAAACGAAGCATAACAGAACAGAGGACAGAAAATAACTCATGTGATGCCCAGTGGGCCGAGGATTCCACGCTTTCACTCTCAACAGTACCTTGGAATGGTCTGTCCGGGCCCAAAGAAGAGAAGTTTGCCTGCTTGCGATGCTTTGCAGCCTGCTTGCCCCAGCCTGCTTGGGACGGGTTTGGTTTCCCCCAGCAAACTTTGGCAGCTCAATCTCATTACCACGAGACTTCTGCTTCTGAGCTACCATGGTATCTCCCTGCTTCCCACACCAATAATAAATGATTTCACATTTGCGTTGTGCTTTGCCACGGATCGAGGGTTTTTGTGTATATCCTCACTGCCTTCTCTCCATGACCACTGCAGTAGGTAGCATTACTCTAAATGTGCAGCTGAGGCTCCCGGTGCTCAGAGAGGTGAAAAGGATTGCCCAAGAGATGAAGTCAGAATGTCTGGTGCTCTGACTGCCTTGGGCTGCAGGGACCTGGGTGAGCTGTGGTTAATAGAGGGTCCCCAAGGAGGCAGATGTGGGTCAGTGGCCTTGAGGGCTGCCTCCCCTCGGGAACTCCTCTGGAACATCAATTTTAAGATAGGGCCCTCAGCAAGGCTCCTTATCTGTCCTCTTTACTAAGGAGCCAGTCACAGCAGGGAGGAGGGGCTGGAGATGGGAAGTTGGACAGAAGGGTTGAGAAAGAAGGCTCTTCTTAGCTACCCAGCATGGGTTATCCTCACAACTCTGGGAAGCCAGGTCCTCTTCAGGGTAGGAGGTTCACAGTAATAATATAACCCCACTTTTGTATGTGATTTACAAAATAAAGCACTTTTACATACATTTTTTTGGTTTCATTTTCCTGATAATCAGAGTGTTATGAATGATAATAGTTTATATTCAAATAGCAATTTGCAGTCTATAAAGCACATTAATCCCAACTACTTCCGTGAATCCTCCTAACAACCATATGAGATATATTGTTCCCATTTTTTAGGTTAGCAAACTGAGGCTCAGAGGTGATAATTGGGTTACCCAAGGTCTCTGAGCTAGTGAATGGCAGAGAGAAAATAAATCCCCAGCCTTTCGTTTACAAGGCCAGGCAAGGCTTTGCTATGGCACCGCAGCTACCCCTCAGGATTGTGGGCACTGTGACCGACCATCACAGGCTTCCTTCCGGGCTTCACTAACAGGTTTAGCAACCCGAAGGCTAGAAGGCACACCACACAAACCCATCAGTGAACTAGGTTGGAGGAGCAGCCGAGGGCTTCCTGCTGGGCCAGGCAATAACCTTTCAGTTGCTGGGTCAGGGGAGCAGTGTGAGTGCCCAGGGTGGCAGCACAGCCTTTGGGCAGTTTTTCAATCAGGGCAGAAATACAAATCCACAGTCTCTTATCTGCACATCTGAAATCCAGAAGCAACACATACTGTTTCATAACTGATATGAGGCTATTTATATGGTATCTGTATGGGGCTGTAGGCCTGTATTTCAATATTTTAACAGCTGTACTGGGGCTGTACTGTACACCAGCCCTGCTCACACTTGTTCCACCAGGCTCTCCAGTACAGGGTGCTCCCCGCCCCCCCCCCCCCCCGGGGCACTACACCTGGCCTTTCTAACCTTCATGACTGTGAGTCCCTTACCTCTGGCCTTACCTCTGGCAACATTCTTCACTTCCTCTCATGCACTGAGCTCTCCTGCTTATTGTGTTCGTCAGGCATTCCTAGCCCTACCTCTTCCTGCTTAATGCCTGGTCTCCAAAGCCAACTTTCCCTAATTCTTTCTGCCTGCTTCCTTTCTTCAAAACTCCTTTTCGTGGTTCTGTGTTAGGAGAAAAATAATGGACTGTAGTTATGCGTTAAGGGAAAAACAATTGACCGAATCTCAATTACACCAGTGTGTGAATGACTAATAGCAACTATCTCCCAAATGAATCTCTAATTGGTGCAATTTCAAGCAGTGTGATTATGTGAAGAATTTTAGTGGAAGATTCTGTGCTGAAGAAAAGATTCAGCGGCATCTTTCCTGCAACTCAGAACACCCAAGTCTTGTTCAGTCTTTTCTCAGACTTTTGTGGGGAGGACCCTGGCGCCTTGACCCCATCTCTCTTCGTGAGGACAGTGTCCAGTTTGATGCATAGTCCCTTCCTAGGACATACTGCTGGGAACACCAACTCTGGCCTTCCTTTCTGCTGTTCTTGTAGGGTCACCAGGAAAGGGCAGGAGCCTGTTGGCATTGGGGTAGATCAGCAGCATAGATAACACAGTTTTATTTTCACAGGGCATAGCCTCTATAGAATGGTGGCCTCTGGCCTGGTCATGAAACATAGTTGTCTGCTAACAACTTGAGAAGAGTTAGAGTGAACAATCTCTTTGAATATCCTTTCCTGGAAATTACTTGATGATTAATAGAGCAAAGACTTAAAGGACGATAGTCCATGCAGATCAATATATAGATCTCAAATCCCTGAGAAGGGAGTTGATTTATGAAAGAAGGAAAACATACATCATACTTGGAAAATTTAAAATAGCTCTCTTCCTAGAGAATAAATGAAAAATTCATTTCTACACTCTATCCTCCGAGTTCACTCAACCTGCTGTTGCATCAATTTTTTAAAAGTCTGACAAGATCCATAAATTTTCTGATTTTTTTCCCAGGAAGTATTTTGATTTCCACTCAGCACAGAAAGGAAGGATGCTTCCAGGAAGGGGCCAAATGTCTAACTACCAAACCAGCACTGCAGGGGATGACCACGAGGCAGCAGTGGGGGGTGCTATGTACCCCTCCTCCCGACCTGAAAAGTCTATCTCTCAGGTTTGGCTGAGAACACAGGTCTAGTTAGGCCTGGTTTTACTTAGCAGCCTGGGAAGGTAGAGCAAAGCAGTGTTTAGTTATCTCTAGTCTCCTCTTCATCCTTTCTCCCAATACACACTCACTGATTGTCATCATAGGGATTGTTGTGTACAGCGTGTTATGAGGACACAGATGAGGTGACTGATTCTAACTTGTCAGGCAGGAGGCATCACTGGACTTGGGTCTTAATAGTGGAGATTTCCAGGCAGAAAAGAGGAAGTACTGGGAGAAGAATAGAGTATTCTAGACCTTAGAGAGTCATGAGCAAAGCATGGGGAGTGTGAGAGATATTGCTGTTCAGACCGGTAGGCCAGTGTTGTTGAAGCACCAGGTTCACCATGGGGAGTGGGGCAGAATGAAGCTGGGAAGAGGGTGGAGCCAGGTTTGGGGGCCTCCAATGTCATAAAAGGGGCTAGACTTTATCCTGAACTAATTACTTTTCTAGAATGAATGAACCAATCCCTAATATTAAAAAAAAAAGTGTGTGTGTGTGTGTGTGTGTGTGTGTGACAGAGAGAGAGAGAGAGAGGGAGAGAGAGAGACAGAGAGAGAGAGACAGAGATTTTGGGAGAGTATGTTTTTGAACACTAAGATGTTAACCCTTATATTGTAGTTGGTTATTTATAATATGAATTCTCCATGCCCCCATCCTCACTTTCAATTGCTTTACTACTCCATAGAGAGGAAGAGCAAGGGACATAGAGAAAGGTGAAACCTATGCTGGTAAAATATTTCATTTCTGACCTGTGCATATTCCGTAGCAGGTTTGGAAGCAGGAACCTGAGTGACTATAATTTCCTGAGTTAAGCGAGCCATCTAGTTGTAAATAGAGAAAAGAATGGGAGCAGGAGATGAAATTTGGAATGATGTTTGACTTTCTTCCCCTGATTGAGACTGTTAGTTAACTGTAAGACAGAGAAGTGAATGCATGAATGTATGTGCATGTGTGCATTTAAATAACATTTGATCAAATTAGAAAGTTTACATATATCCATGTGTATGTATGTGCATATACACATATATTCACACTTATATCTGACGTGAATATGGTATTTTCCAAAGTGCTTGCACATCCATTAGTTTTTTTAGATCCACACAACAACCTGGTGAGCCATATATTATCAGTATGTTTGACATAAATTACCAGGAAGTTCACTAATTGACTTATTCAAGATCTTCCACAGTAGGAGAAGAGTTGGGACCACTATAATTCAGGTCTATCTCTGGTAACCTTTCTAAGAAGTTATTTGAGAACTTACTTTCTGAACTCAAAGTTAGGATGCTTGGTTTTAGATCGGGACATAATATTTGGAACTGGAAGTATACCAGAAACTCTGGAACATACCGTCACTGAAATCATACCCCAGCCACCTTCATTACTAAACTTTTTATAAGTATTCTTTTTATGGTGCCTTCAGTAAATTTTAACTATACACGAAGAAGAAAGAGGGTAGGATAATTTCAATTCAAGTTTTGTAAAAAAATTTATTGCTTATCATATCATAATCATTGTATTATATTACAGGCACTATTTAAAAAAAATCATGTTCTTTTCTCAAGGGGAATAAATTCATGCATTACCACTAACAAGAAACAGTATAAGTAGGAATTATATATACCATATATTAAAATACATTGAACCACACAGACTTATGATAAAGCAAGTAGAGGTTATTAAATCAGCACGATTTATTGTGTGCTGTGTCTTAACTCTGATTTTACAAAGAGAACATCCCCAAAGGGGAAAGGCAAAATAAAGACAGAATTTAGAAGTAGATGCCAGACTAGAAGTCAATATATTTGGATGACATTTATTTATTTCCTTGTAGAACTGCCTGTACACTATAGGCTTGGGACATGTGGGGTTCGGTCTTTAATTTTGACTGAAGGTCAGTATAAGCAGCAGCCATATGAAAGCTACTACTGCACTTGTCCAGTTCATTTTTCAGTACTCCTTCTATAAAGCTCTGAGTGAGGACTTTCTTTTTTATTGAATGCCGACAGAAATTTGGTCCCCTGAGAACTAGTATTTCTGTTCTGATAAAGCCACCAATTATGTTTTCTTTTTTTTTGCCTCATTGCAGAAAGCTCAGAAAAATACTCCTGTCTCTTATAATTAGCACATTTGCATTTTTTCTTCAGTTTCTTGCTTTTTCTATTTTATGAAGTCATTGTTTATGTTGTTTGTTGTAAACTGCTTTGGGTCCTTTTTAAAAAGAGGCTTGAGTATAAAAGCAAGTAAATAAGACAGGCAAACTCTCCCCCCACCCAGACAAGGCATTGCTGACATCTGGGTGTTACCAATAATGGCCATTTAGGTACCTATGCAGGAGTACCCACAGCTGGCTGTCTTTCACAGATGCAGCAGCTGTTGAAGGCTCGGTGGGGAGGAGCAAGAAGGAAAGGGGGCAGTAATGCTCTTCCGGGTGCTGCCATGGTTTAGTTCTCTGCACCTTTCTGTTTATGAACTTCTGGCTCTATGTAGCCATCAGTTTATGAACTTCCTGGTCCACTCAACCTTTCAAGAATGTGTTGCCTGCGAAATGGTAGAGAAGGAGCCTCAGAGGGAAATGGAAAAAGCAAGGCCGACTGATTACAGGGGGATTGCTCTCTCTCTCTACTAGGAGAGGAAGGTTCGATTGGGCCCTTATTTCCGTTTTTTATGCACATGCTAAGTAAGAGTCAGGAAAGAAAAGAGGCTGTTTGCAAAGAGAAGTGCCACAGTGAGGCAGTTTTCTCTCCCGTGATCTAACTGCGTTGGAAGTACACAGCAGTACCCCATGTATGCATTTATGGGCAATTATACAGGCTGTCAACGTGTGTCCTTCCCCCAGGGGCACTGTCTCTCGTTAAAATTGGACTTTAGTTTTAGTAATTTTTTTTTCCACAAAATACAAAATAATGTAATACATTGTCTTTATTGTCTGACATTACAGATTAGTTTTACACTTTTCTTTTCTTTTCACAGACCAGGGGAATAAAGGGTAAAAATATGTCCAGCATTTTGCAAACATTCTTTGTTACACACAAACACACACAATAAATAATAGGAAAGAGAATACAGAAGAATTAAAAGGAAGGTTGAAATTGGACAGGCTGTAGTTCTAATTGATCCATGGAAAGAATATGAAACTTTTTGATAATACGAACGGGTGGGGTATGTTATACATAGCTTGGTACATGCACTTGAAATCAAAACTGCTTTTATTTTGCTTCCATTTTATTATTATTACTTTTTGAGTATGCTGCTCCCTCTGCTGGCTTTTGAACCTGACCACAGGGTTAGATACAGGATTTTAATTTAGGCTACAGTTAAAGAGTTACAATGTCCTTATTTCTAGAGATGTTTGTGAGGACTTTGCAAACACCCAGAGCAGAAAGGTTCTTGGTGATAAGAGAAAGGCTAAGTGTTACCTATTCTTTTGAGATTATTGTCAACCAACAGTAGGGATTCTACTTGGGAAATACTAAATGATGGCAAGTAAACTAGTACTGGGTACAGTCTTTCTCTCATAAGATTGAGCACATTTTGATGAGCAGTGGGGGAATCGGGGCTTATTAATTATGTGATAAGAAGAGATATAACTGACTAATTTTTTATAAAAAGAGGTTCCACACCTTTTCAGTACAATGAAAACTGAACGGGGTATTCACAGCAACAGAGGATGTCGGGGTTAGCTTCTGAGTGCTGTGGATTTTACCTAGAGGAAATTCAGTGGCTGTGATGGGTATCTTTCTATTAAGAAAAGGGTTTAATCAACAACCCAGAAAAGCATGAGACTGGCCTGAAATTTAGACCCCTGGGGATCTAAAGTGCCCAACAAATTGCAACAGGTTCCCTCTTCTCAAAGATGTAATACCTCTTCTTTTGATGCCGACAGTAGTAATAGTTATAAAAAAAATGCTAAATTTAATATATTTCAATTCAAGCACTACATCGAAAAGGAAGCAAATTAGTATGATTTTTTTTTTTCTCTTTCCAAACTGAAGCATGATCATACATTAGAGGCAAAAGCATTGAGAAAAACAGCAGGACGGCAGGCCCCTCCTCTGTTAGTTAAGACCTGCAGTAGGGAACATAACTTACTCCCTGCTTCAGTTCTTCTTCCTACAGAAAGATTGAATCAATAATAGTTAGATTACCCAGGGTTCCAATAAGAGCAGGTATACAGTGTGACAGGATGCAAGGTGGGGAAAACATCAACACAGCTTTGATAGCAAGTCAGCTCTCTTTGACTTCAGTTCCAAGTTTTTTTTAGGTATTTGAAACCGTAGACCCATCTCTTTTCTCCCTGTGTCTAACCATCTTTCTACACAGTCTCTCTGTCCTGGTGTTTGTATATCCTGATACGTTACACTACTCAGTCAGGCTAGGTTGATGCCAAGATGGCTGGTGGTAGATAGACTCCTATCCCAATGCTACAGTGAAGGAATCTGTGGGAATATAGGCAGGGGGATGTTTTCAAAGCTTCCTGTCATTCAGTGAAGAGACATATGGGCTCGACCTTCATTTGGAAAGGAAAGCAGAAAGAGCTTTTCTGGATCATCAAATGAGATAACAGACCAGAAACAGCAATAGGTTATTAATGATCTAGTTCTGTCTTAACATATGTAGTACAACAAAAACTGAATTCTACACTTTACATGTTTAATACACTGAGAGTAGTGGAGTAAAGATAAAGCATTCCCAACACGGTTGGCAGGAAAAGTCAACTAAGGGATAAAAAAGAGTAAAGACAGCAGAAGAAAGAAGTGTTAACTTAGGGCAGTGCCTGGGACACGGTAGGTTTCACCAATATTTGTTAAATAAAAGAAAGGAAGGGAGGAAGGGAGGGAAGAAGGATGAGGGAGGAAGGGGAGTGAGGGAGAGAAAGAAGGGGGGAGAGAGAGAGAGAGAGAGAGAGAGAGAGAGAGAGAGAGAGAGAAGAATAATACAGAAACAATAAATGATGGTGTATCAGGGATGTGAGGGATCCATGGACTGAAAGTCAGGACATCTTGTCTCACCAGTGAGCTGTCCCAGGGACCCTGCCTTTGGCATGTCACAGTTTCAGACCATACTGGTTCATCATCAGGCAGGATGGCCACACAGCACTGACATTTCTACTGGGCTGACTATGAACATGCGGCCATAATTAGTTTACATTTGACTTAAAATGTGATTCAGTGTATATTGAGAAAGGGAATAAGGATTTATAAAAGGAAGAATGTCATTTCCCAATGAGAATAACAGATTATAGCACTCTGTAGAGGACTAGTAGAGATCATCATTTTAAACACACTACCTTCAGAAAAGTAAGGAGATCAATACATTTTTTTTTTTTTTAAAGCTCAACTTTATGAAACTAGATTTGTTAGTAATTTATCAGCAACTTCTTTTTGGCCCAAAGGATTAATATTTCTCAGGCAACAGGATTAAAAAAAAAAGTAAGGAGATATTTCCATTTATAGTTTGCATTTGAGACCCATAGAACTTATGTGACTTGCAGCTAAAGCCACACAGGTAAGATAAAAAATTTTACTGAAATTAATAAAGTTACTCCTTTTAATGAAACTATTACCACCAAAGTTACTTAATGGCTATATCTTTATTTTATGAATTAGACATTAACTTCTGTTCAATTTAGTCAGAACTACTGAAAGCTATTAAAGTAAACTATTTCTAAATAGATCCAGTTTTATTACTTTCAAGGACATATGAAACTGGAAATAAGCCAAGAAGAAGTTGTTCCATGAAGGTCCTTAGTAGTCTGGTTCCAGAAAATGGATAAGAATAAACCCTATAATTGAGTGCTATTATTTGATCTATCTAAGAAAAGTTCCTATAACTGAATTTAAAACCACATTTTGGGGGAAATCACATATAATAATTGTAAAAACTAATGCATGTTGTGTGCAAAAAGTTTTTACAAATGCTGATGTCTTACCTTTAGTAGCTTCATGAGACCTTCTAACTGGACCATTAGTTCTCTCCGGCTCTCCTGGAGAGCAGACATTCTCTGTTCTAGCTCATCCTTGCGCTGTCTAAGAAAGAAGCAGTTGCCATTAGAAACAGCATTAAACTCAGAGTTAATCACATTTCCCAATCTTGTGGGACTAGAGGACCACCAGAAAAGGGGCATTTCTGGGTGTCTGACATGGTTACTAGGCAGAAAAATGTCAAATAAGTGAATAATTACAGCTTGAATGAAGTGTACATTTATTTGTTAGAAGTCATACTAAAACAGAATTAGAGTCCTTTAGACACGTCTTCCCTTCTACCCTGGGGATTAGCCATTGGATGAAATCTTTTCTGAATGCTTACTATGTCATGGCCTCTGTGCTGTGTCATTGGGTTTCCTTGACACACAAAAACTAAATCACTGAAAAAGTCCAACCCCATAGATCCTCCAATCCCAAGGACACTTTTGTAAATCTTACAGAAAATATTCATTACCTTAATATTTGGAAATTGAATTTAGAAAAGTACACTTTTCATCTCTTCCATCTTTAGTATGCAAAACAGTGCCTTTCAGAGGTCAAATATTAATGGTGCATAGTTATTACAGTCAATATAATTTTTTTGGTTTGGGTTTGGTTTCATGAAGTGAAGTCAGAATAAAGAAGTTCCTACATATTGTTTTAATGGAAAATAATCTAATAGGTTTATCTTTGTTTAATTTTGTTTTGTTTTGTAGAACTAAAACTATCAGTAAGAATGGAAACCTAAGGACAATCTCTATACTCTTATCATTGATGTTAACACTAAGAGGTATCAAAAATATCTTCAAGAGGGGGAAATAAATGAAACAGTATGAAGAATGTTAATGGTTCACATTTCTGAAGTATATGTATACTTTTCAAATCAATTTCAAATAGATTATTTCATAACCATTAGTGAATAAGAAATACATACTTCTTTTCTTGCCCCAAAGGCTTCTCTGAATTTAAAATATTGGAACTTACATTTGTTAAATGTGTGGATGTTTTAACCATATATGCATTAATGTATAATAAATAGATATGCCTAGTCTTAATGGCACAGACATAATGTGAAGTGTAGCTACAGTAAGGACTTTTAAATAAAAAATTGACAATATAAAAATGTCACACTGAGTTAGGTCAATGGCTCGTTTAATTGAAAGATATTTTGTGGAAGGACAGGTTATAGATATAAATGAGACATTTATAATTTGCTTTCATATTGGCTTACTCTAAAATGAATGATGAGCCCTGGCTGGTTTGGCTCTCAGTGGTTAGAGCATCAGCCTATGGACCGGACAGTCCTGGGTTTGATTTCCACTAAGGGCACGTGACTTGGTTGCAGTTTGTTCCCACCCCTATTGGGGTCGTGTGGGTGGCAACCACTCAGTGTGTCTCTCTCACATAGATGTTTTTCTCTCTCTCTTCCTCCCCCTCTCCCTCCCACTCTATCTGAAGATAAATGCAAAAATGTCCTCTGGTGAGGATAAAAAAATAAAAAAAATAAAAAAGTAAAATGAATGATGAATTTAAAATGTATAAACATATCTCAACTCTTTTTGCATATATTTTCAGCTTTTATTTGCCACTAATGTTTGCTACCAGAGCAATCTTTCCTTTGAGTTCCTTAACAATTGCCTCTTTTCTGAATCCTGTGGATAAGGAACATCATAATTTTATAAACTTTAATGGTATCTTACTTCAGTCTTTGTCTTCCTGGACTACAGATTCTAATTTTGAAAAAATTTTGCCTTCTTCAAAAATATTCTTCAATGACAAGTCCATTAGCTGTTTTTTCCTTGATCTTGTCTGTACATGGTGTCCCAAATACATTCATTAGTAGGGCTTGGTAGAAGTGTAAATAATCATTATAATTTATTTCCAATTCTCTTCTAGATAGTTATCTATAATTTTTGGCTTTTTGGGCATAAGAACACTTTGAGAAGAAGGTTGAAACAAAATTCTTTAAAAAAAAATAGGATGATGCTCAACTAACTGAGCCACACAATTTTTATATTGTAGGCAAGAAGTACTAAGAAAGGCATCTAAAAACTATCAGAAACAGTTAACTACTGTATTTAGAATTAATCATAATTAACATCTTATTTTCCCTGACCAGTTTGGCTTAGTGGTTAGAGTGTTGGCCCGAGGACTGAAGGGGTCATGGTTTTGATTCTCGGACAAGGGCACATACCTTAGTTGCAGGTATAAACCCGGGTCAGGGTCATGTCATCAGTGTTTCTTTCTTTCTCTCTCTCTCCTCCCTTCCACTCTATCCAAAAAAAAAAAAACAAAAACAAAAATGCCCTGGCCAGTTTGGCTCAGTGGTTGGAGCATCGGCCTACGGACCAGAGAGTCCGGGGTTCGGTTTCCGCTAAGGGCAGGTACCAAAAAAAAAAAAAAAAAAAAAAAATCAATGGAAAAATATCCTTGGGTGAGGATTAAAAAAAATATTATTTGTACATTTATCTTATAGTAATCTTCTAAACATGTTGTTTACTCTTTTATGCATTTGATTGAATTCAATGAAAAAAATTAATTTAATGTCTTTATTTAATCTTCTCTGTAAGTACTTACACCAGTGATTACCAAATATGGGTCTGATAACAAATCTGTAGTGTAACCTCTACTGTTCCAAGAAAAAAATGAGAAAACAAGGACTAAGTAGTGATTTTATTTACACAGAGGTAAATATATTCATCTCAAATGTCAAATATCTGTCAGATAATCTGACAGAATTTCAGAATAAAATTCTGAAATGAAATAAACTGAAATTCTGTCAGCTTATCTTTAGTTTTGCACATGTTAAAACCTATTTTTTTTAGGACAGTATTGGAATAATAAGCAAATTTTTAATATAAATTGCATATTGGATAATAATAAATATCAATATTAACTTTCCTGAATTTGATAATAATACCATGGTCATATAAGAGAATATCTTTTTTTCTAGAAAATATATACATAAATACTTAGAGGGTAAAGGGTTATTACGTCAGCAACTTACTCTCAAATGGCTCATCAAAAATGCACATGTAATTTATGTATAAACACACACACACATACACACACAGTGACAGAGAGAAGGATGTGGCAAATGTTTACGATCTCTAGGTGAAGCATAGAAGAAAATTCATTGTAATATTCTTACAACTTTTCTGTAGGCTTAAAGTTATTAAAAATAAGAATTAAAACATATACCATCATTCATGAAACTGTTGTGACAACACAAATGATGGTAGTTTTAAAAATATTATATGGTAACACAAGAGTACTCAACTTTTTGTTGTTTGCCAAAAACAATTATAAAACCAAACTGGTGTGGCTTAGTTGGTTGAGCATCGTCCCATGGACCAAGAGGTCACTGGTTTGATTCCTGGTTGGTCAGGACATGTGCCTGAGTTGCAGGTTCAATCCCCAATAGGGGGCATGCGAGAGGAAGCCGATTGGTATTTCTCTCTCATTGATGTTTCTATCTCTCTATCCTCTCCTTTCTCTCTAAAATCAATAAAAACATATTAAAAACAACAACAACAAAAACTAAACTGGTCTATGAAATTCAAGTCTGGAAACCACAGACTTGCACCAGAGATTACAATTCTATTTTAATCGGTAAAACAAAGCAAAAAACCAGTTTATGTTAACAAATTGTCACAAAAAATGATTTTATGTACTGTGAAAAAAGTGCATTTTGGGGAGTGTATAATATGATGATTATTTTTTAGGCAAGGGATAAATATGGAAAATAATACTTGTTTTTCTTGAGATTTGTAGTGTGTTGTAAGTTGCTTCACAGTTTTAAGAAATGTTTCTCTTCATTATAGAGGATGGTATTATCCTTGCACAGTTCTTTGGCTATTTCTTAGTGGTTTTGCATTTTATGCATTCAAACCACAAACATCTTTTCAGCACTTTTGTTTTGAGATACCATGAACAAAATAATGAGTAGGATACAGTTTTTGTCCTTGGGTGAGAGTGCAGGAGACATGAAAAAGTTCAAAACAATGATGGTGAGTGTGAGGTATAAATAAGAATAAACTGCTATGTGTGGTAACCCAGAAGGAGATGGACAGTTCTATATAGTTGCAGAAGTTCAGGGAAGGCTTATTAAATCACCTTGCAAAATTTCTCTCGGAAGCTACATCTAATGGGAACAACCCTGGGAACCATATGAAATGTTTCAGACCTTCTCTGCTTCATCTGTACCTCTTGCTTGCCTGTATTTTTGAAATTATTAGTAAAGCTCAATACTGGAGTAAGATCTCTGGTTCATGCCAGTCTGATTTGACAATCTAATCCAGCGTATTGGCCTGAAATGTAACTCACCCTTCAATGGTTTCCTGTTGCAGGATTAACAGCAATATCTTTAAGATGAGCTGAAAGACCACAGAATCATGATCTATCCCTACCTGCATTTTCAGCACCATCTCTTACCATGTACCACTTCATTCACGGCATTCTAGGTCTATAGACATTTTAGTTCCTAAAAAAGTATCATATTTGCCCCTGCCATTTGGTCTTTGTACATATACTGTGCCTTACAGAAGCACCCCTTCTTCAGCTGTAGCAGGTTCCCTTCCCCACCCTTAATCCCTATTCCCTATGTTCCCTTCTTCATACTTTAACTCAAACAATCCTTCCTATGGTAGCCCTTTCTGACTCTAGTAAAGTGTAGATTTAATAATCTTTTTTAATAAAAAGGAAGGTTTCTTATAGCACTTATCTCAGATTATAATTATATTCTTATTTGTGTGATTATTTGATTTATGTCATTTTCCTACTAGACCACAAATTCTGTGAGACCAGGAACAGTATCTTTTCCAACTCATCATGGTATTGCGATGCCCAGAAAAGTTCTGGGCACACTGTCTTTTAGAAATATTTGTTGACTGAATTAAAAGAAGAAAGAGAATTTTGATAGCAGTGTAGACGGACAGAGGCTGGGACTCAATTAAGTGCTCAATGTAATAGTTCAAGCAGGAGATACATAATTCAGACCCAGGAAGAGGAGATGGAATCCACCTGTGCTATTAAATGTGCAGGTTCTTGGGCAAGTTATTTAACTTCTCTGAATTTTAGTTTCCATATCTGTAAAGAGAGTACAATGGGGTCCATCTCCCAGGTTTGTTACAGCAATTTCATGGAACAGTGGAAGCGGAGTTTAGTGGATAGGAAGTGTCAGATTAGCACACAGAAATGCCTATCAGTCCTAGTCAGTTGCCAGATCTGGGTGGCAAACGTGGCTTTCAGCTTTGTTGTGGCTAAACTGAAAAGGAAAATATGATCATTTAGAGAGGTCATAGCGCTCTTAAGATAAAAAATAAACTATGAGTTCATGAAAAGCAAAGCTCTGCTCCTTTATATCCTCTCCTTTTCCTGAGCTAAAGGAACTTTTCTCCTGTTGGTTTCTCAACAAAAGGCCCTGGGAAGGAGGTAACGAAATGAGAAGACCTCTATCAAAGCTACAAAATGAGTTTCTAGCCCTGGCCGGTTTGGCTCAGCGGTTAGAGCATCGGCCTGCGGTCCTGAGAGACCCGGTTTCGGTTCCCGCTAAGGGCGCGTGCCTTGGTTATAGTTTGTCCCCGGCCCTGGTCGGTTGTGCGGGTGGCAGCCACTCAATGTGTCCCTTTCGCATCAATGTTTCTCTCTCTCTCTGTTCCTCTCTTTCCCTCCCACTCTACCTGAACAAAAAATGGAAAAATGTCCTCCGGTGAGGATTAAAAAAAAAAAAATGAGTTTTTGTGGCTGTTTCTCATGGTCACCCCTCAGTGTGAATGAAGGCCAAAGTAACTATGCTAGAGGCTATTGTTTTGGAGTGCTTTCAAAGTCTGAAATGTCTAAAGAATAAAACTTAGGACACCCAGAGCTGGGTTTCTTAACCTGGGATGTTAGAGTATCTGTGAAATCCATAAATTGTGAAAGTGTTCAGCACAGAATAAGTAGTTTTTAAGTATCTAGAGAAATACTCTTAAGGGGAGGGTATTTCTTCTTCCAGATAGAAGAAATGTGTAGAGTATGGAGGCAGGCAAAGCGAATGAGCTGGAATTGAGGTGTCTCAGGCTTCATATCTCAAGCCTCAGGCGTGGGGCACCAGCTGACAGGGAGAGCCAAAAGTATACGAGTTCTTGCAGAGCCAGAACCCTTCACGTAGCTTTGGGCTCAGCTGGGGCCATGGGAATGCCCACAAGTCAGGACCAGAGGGAAGAAATGTCAGTTGGAAAACTCATCATCTGTGACCCAGATATATCTAGATGCTTTCCCAGACTGTATTATCCAAATGGAACCAACTACTTTACAAAGCAAATGCTAACTGGTGGGATTTGATGAACATGCTTATGAAAAATTCCTAGTCAATTATCCCTCTACTAGAGAATGGAACAACCGGTAGAAGAAGTATAGAAAACATTTCAGGTAGAGAAAATGTACTCTGACGTGTAGATGAATGACTACTGTGTTTCCAAGCTGGTTTATTCAGTTGTACTTCTGCATATATTAAACTTAATTTTCAACTTGTAAAGTTGGAGGGCCTGCATAATCCTATGTGGTGAAAGATACTTTCAAACAGTCATTTACTTTTATATGCCTTTGAGGAGGAGGATGACATGAAACATCACTTTGCCCTTCTTTTCATTTTCATCCCTTCTGGGTGATGGTGTACTGCAATGTGCAAGGATTTCCAACACAGCTTTCTGAAGGAAGGACCAGAAATCACATAGGTTGAAAAGAAAGAATTTCTGTTTCTTCCATTAAATTATTTTGTTATTCTGCCTGGCCAGTGTGGCTCAGTGAATTGAGCGCCATCCCATGGACTGAGAGGTCCTGGTTCGATTTCCAGTCAGAGCACACGCCTGGGTTGTGGGCTCAATCCCCAGTAGGGGGCAGCCGATCAATGTTTCTCGCTCACATCGATGTTTCTATCTCTCTCTAAAAATTCAATAGAAACATATTAAAAAATTATTTTGTTATTCTGAAGTATGATGTACTCTCATACTCTAAGCAGTCCCACCAGATGCAGGTTCTATAGATTTCCTTTTTATAACTCAAGCCTTTGAAGGGTCGGTCCCTCCAGCCAGGTGCATGGGCCAGGGGAGATTGGGTCCCAGCTCAGAGCAGACAGGTCCTGCAGCCTGGGCCGGGGGTGCTGCAGTATTCAGATGTTAACAGGTCAGAAGAGCAGGGCTAGAGTGGAACCCCCAGAAACATCCATGACTGCAATCAGTAGGGACTTGGTAAACTGCAAACATAGCCCTACAGAACCTGCTTAATTTAGTCTCTTTGTATGGAGAAAGTAAATGGCACTCTAATTCTGACAAGGGTTTCTGAAAAGAAGCATTGGTATAGTCATGTCCCACTTAAGAATAGGGATGTGTTCTAAAAAAATGCATCATTAGGCAATTTTGTTGTCATGTGAACATCTTAAAAGTGCACTTAACAAACTTAGATGGTATAGTCTACTACACACCTAGGCCATATGGTAGAATCTATTGCTCCTAGGCTACAAGCCTGTATAGCATTTTACTGTACAAAATAACATGCTATTAAATAAAATATGAGAAAATGATACAATGAAGAGACAAAGTAAACACAAGCTGTATGAGGCTGCTGCTGGCATAACTCAGCATACTATTTTACAGCAAATTTTTTTATAAGTAGAAAGAGTATACACTAAAATGATGATAGAAAGTATAATATTGTAAATACATAAACCAATAACATAGTCATTTATTATCATTATCAAGCATTATGTACTGTACATAATTGAATGTGATATACTTTTACATGCCTGGCAGCTCAGTAGGCTTGTTTGCATCAGCATCACCAGCAATGCATTGTGCTACTACATTATGATGGCTATGACATCACTAGGTAATAGAAATTTTTCAGCTCCATTATAAATTTATGGGACAACCATCATATATGTGGTTGAGAGTTTATTGAAATGTCATTACGTGGCACGTGACTATACTTAGAAGTATGCCGCAGAGTTAGATATACCTGGAATGTACTTGGCACCCAAACTGAAAGATGGAAAGTATGCTAACTGAAAGTGCCTTGAGAAATATGACATTTCTATGAGGGAATGTCTTTGAATTTATGTTTGTTTTGTTTGCTACACAAATAGCTTTGAGTATGTATCATATTCAAGGCACGGTGGGAAGCCAGTCTGATGCGGAGCCCATGGTTGCAGAGGGAGCCACTGCAGTCCTCATCCATGTCCTGCTGCTCTCTACCTGTCTGACTCTGAGAAGTGCACCGAAATTCAGGGGTTGAATCAGATGAACTTCTAAGGTTCTTTCCAACTCAAATACTTTATGATGACAGAGTATGTAAACCCGGGCCTTTTACCTCAGTTACAGAACAAGAAGATATGATGAAGTCTATTTTTTAAGATCTGTCCATAAAGTTTTTAGGGACTCAGATTTAGCAAAAACCAGACTCCATTTTATGCATTACAGGTAAATTTTTAAATGTAAACATGTTTTGATCATTTGTATCATAAACACTTTATTGATGGTGCAAATAACTAAAGAGATCCGAGTTCAATTCTTTTTTTCCAGGTAAAGATTTTGTTTCTGATCTAAAAAACTGTTTCTTTTTTTCTGTATCAAATAAAAGAATAAAATATAAACAGCCTCTTCCCTAAACACCTAAATCTCAGCAATTAGGTGTGTGCAATTAAAAAACAAAGGTCAGAAGCTGACTGAGGACCGGTTTCTGGTTAGACACTGTTAGACTTTATTGAAGATCTCAAGTACCTGTTTCCCAGAGATGCCTTGGGCTCCCTGTCTTACCTGAGGAGCCGGAGTTCTGCCAGCAGAGTGGGGTTTTGCTGTGCCTTCTCTGGAGTGGGCTGAGAAGCTTGTTCATGCTCTAGCCGCAGCCTCTGGATCTCCTGTAAGATTTCTCTTGGGAGAGAGGAAGAAGGTAAGAAACCAGAGTCAGTTAGCTCTCAGAGTATCCAGGATCTAACATCAGAGCAGATCAGATCAGGGGTCATCCTATGTTTTAGAGCAGAACCTACCCTCACTAAATGAACTGAGTTTATAAGGCGTTGGCTGTAGCTAGTTGGCTGCTGTGGATGAGAGGCTTCTGACTTTCTCTCCAGTATATCCAAACCAAAAGGATTCTGTAGTTGGAGCCTTCAAGCTGAGTGTTCTCACCAGGACCTATGAATCTCCCTAGTAGGGACTATAATGCTGTGGTAATGTGCTCAGCTTTGAAAAGTATACCGCTAAAGGGACAAAAATGTATCTTCCTATTATTTATGATCATACTGACACCATAAAGTAACCACAGCGACCAAGTAAGAGGTGCTTAAAGGGGAAATGAGGATAAATGGTGCTCATTTCACAAAACTAAATAACCCCATTCACTCACCAGGAATGAAATCCCTCTTACTGAATTTATCCAAGAAGGCCACAGTTAGTCAAAATTCTTTCTCTTTTTCTTAACATTTTCAGCCTTAACAATAGATCTCGATGAGAGTCGCCTTAGAAGGGAAGTGGTTTTAAAAGGGTTCACTGTAATTGAGTTTGCGACATGAGTGCTCTTGGTGTGACCTCTGTCAGGGGTGAGACACATCAGTCTATTATTGATGTTTGGGCCTGGGCTGCCCTGCATTGAGGTGAACATTAGGCCGGCTATAAAGGATAGGTGACCTGTGTAAGGCATATTATCGCTAAGTGAGTTAGAAGCCATTAGCAAGGTAACAAGTCATATATTCTTGGGGAAGGGGGTCAGTCTCCCACCCAACAAAATGCTCAGAGCCAGTAAGACAGAACAAAGCACCAAGAATGGAAGGTGAACTTGGTGAGCAAGGGAGATGACTTTCTATCTGAAAGGCTAATTTACAACTGTCTGCTTCAACACACCAGCATTAAGAAGCTAATTACTAGTCACTACACATCTCATGAGTATGGTGAGAAGACTGGACCATAAATCAGCTGTTTTCAACCTGTTTTGGTCCCCCTTTGTATTCCATGGTGAAATCTTTCTTTCAAAGAAATATTCCATGGAAACCCAGTATCTCAAAGAAAGGGTGCTCCCAGCCCTTTCTTCCCTGTCTTCAGGCACCCCTACAGAGGTTCCAGGGTCTCTTAGAGCTCAGCCTGAAAATCAGTGTACCGGATTTTGAAGATCTCCTCCAGGGTTCTAACATCCTGAGAGTCCATGACTCCTACTAGTTCTCCTTGTTGGTAGTAAGGATAGAACCACAACAGAGCTATGTGGTACAAAGAAGCAGCAGCTCTGATATGAAAAAAAAAAATCATAAGATATGTAATGAGCATTGAGTGCTTAGTCTATACCCAGGAACTGTACTGTCTTCTTTAATATTACTTTATTTAATCCTCATAACAATTTTATTATTTATAGGCACTACTATTATCTGTTTCATGAATGTTAAAATCAAAGCATAGACTAGTTAAAAGACTTGCCCAAGTTCAATAGCATATAAGTGGTAGAGGCGATCTGAACCCAGGCTTGTTAGCTCCAAAGCTCACATATATCAGACTCCCTCAGTCTTTGGTACTTGCCCTGACAGTTGTAGCCTAGGCAGGCTGTGACATATACATTATAATCTGAAGAGTCCTGCTACTGCTAATACTAACCCCAACTGGCTCCTCTCAGGGTTCTATAAGAATGCATGCTCTTCTAAAGATCATTGCTGAAATGTCCATGATTTTTACCTAAGGTAGACATGAAGTGTGATGAGGAATGCTATCTTCCTCTGAAGCTCAGAGATCTGATTAGTAAGTTAGTTGTCACCCTGGAAACTCTGGGACCCCTGAGGTAAATTTCCATGGTGCAGAAGTGTGACCTGGACAAGCTTCTGGGATTTGGTTCTGGGGTCTTGGAGGGCATGAGAATGCTGGCTTAGAGTTCCAGCAGACCAGATGCTCATCAGCATGGGGTGAGGAATCTAGGGACCATGAAATAACTCAGAGACAGGATGGAGCTCCTTTTCTACCATCTCATTTCCATTTCTTTTTTCTTTCTCTGGTCATGAAACATGCATTCAGAGAGTACAATCCCAAAACATCCTAGAAGCAAGCAGGAAGAGTGATGTCATGGCATAGCCAGGTCCTTAGGACAATCATGGTACTTCCTGCTGATTCTGGAATCCCATATGGAAGCAGCTATCCCTGGGGGTATTTGCTTAAAGGAAGTTCCGATTTCTTTCCACTCAAGTGTGCTATCCCCATGTTGAGTGGAAGCAGAGGATTGGAAGGGAAAACAAAGTGCTTTGGAAAAGTGGGACAGCAGGTTAATGCTGCAACCAAGATAAAATATGTGTGGACTTGTGAATTTTCACTCTTGTCTTTATTCCTTTATAAGAATATGAAAATGTGCCAACTGAATTTGTACTTTCCTTTTAATGTTTTCTGTATAACTTTGAGGAATTCGTTGGCCATTTATGCTAAAATTCTCAGGTCAAACTCTATTGGCATGAAACAATGATCACAACCTGCTTTACTAGTTTGATCTCAGAAGTGACATCAGTGTTTAAGAATGGAATTAAATGTTAAGACATTATGGTGCTGCTCTAAGAAATATAAAATGTACAAGTTGTTCCTGTGTTGGTCTATATCAGTACTGAGTTTGAGATCTTACTCAACTATTTATTATTTTCACACTCTTTCTATATATATTTTATTTATTTTTTTATTGATTTTAGAGAGAGAGGAAGGAAGAAGGAGAGAGAGAGATAGAAACATCTATGAGACAGAACATCGATTGGCTGCCTCCTCCATGTCCCACACTGGGGATTTGGCCCACAACCTGGACATGTGTCCTGACCGGGAATTGAACTGGCGACCTCTTTGTGCATGGGTCAACCGTCAACCACTGAGCCACACAGGCCGAGCCCATTCTTTCTATATTTACCAAGCTTCTACAATATATCAGGCTCTGGAAGCTTGAGGGTCATTTGGCATGGCCTCTGTTTTCAAAGAACTTCCATTTCAGTCAGAGAAGACAGACAATAAAAAAGGAAACAAACACAATTATTTCAGACAGTGATAAGACACACACACACACACACACACACACACACACACGGCTGTAATAGAGTAATTCCTGGGGTAGAAGTTAGTGGGCAAGATTAGATAGCTCTTTTGAGCTAAGCTCTGGATGATGAGAAGGAGCCATCCATGCAGAGACCCCGAGGAAAAGTGTTCTAAGTCCAGAGAACGATAAGTACAAAGGCTGAAAGGAAAGAAAGAAGCAGGATTGTAAAGAGCAAGATGAGCTGAGGCTGGAAAGGTAGGCAGGAATCAAGCCAGGAAAGACCTTGCAGATCACGGTAAGAGGAGTGCATTTTAGTCAAAGTGTGTTTTGGACAGGAAATCACATGATATGATTTATGTTTTGTAAAATGACAGGTTGGATTGAGTGATAATGGTGGAGATGAAGTGGGCAGTTTGGGGATATGCTGTGGGGGTAGACTGTGAATCAATCTATGTTGAATTAAAGAACCTGCTGATGGACTGGACATGGAGATGTTTGGCTTGAACATCTGGGTGATGGTGATAACAGTTCAAATGTCTCTTTTAGCCCAGAGTCCTTGCGGGGGGCCCTCCTTGGACAGCCTTCTACTTGTCTCTGGGTGGCAGAGATAATTTTCCTTTATTACCCAGGAAGGTACTCCTGCATTAGACAGCTCCTTAATAAAAATAAGTGTCAGAAAGAGGGAAATGAGGCTGTCTAGAGAGAAACAATAATTGCATTGCTATCTCAGGATCTACATATATATTTTCTCATGAGTTTTCTGAAGATCTAAAATCTAGAGACTAGCTTCTCAGAAGGCAGCATCACTGGCTCTGGATGTGCCCTTAAACATTCAGACAGGGTGAAAAACCTGGGTATTTTAAAGCACACCTTGATCAAAAACCAATATGTCTAAGCAGCTGTACCTGTTCTTGTTTTCTAGTTCTGCGATGAGCTGCCTTTGTTGCTTATTTGCATCAATGGTGAAGGAGATGTCAGGAGCACTTCTCTGCTGTGTTGGCTGCTGTAAAACATGAGGTTTACACTGTTTAACATTGAGAATGGAAACCCACGTGTGTTTGAGAAGACAGAAATATGAGATATGCAGACAAGAAAAAATAAACTATTTCTATCAAAACTAAAAAATCAAATATATAAAATTAAATTGCCATTCCTCTCCTAAAGACCAATTTTTCTGTGGATCTGGAGCACATCTATGCAAATGAAAGGCAGAACAGAATTCTTTGGCAGGCAAATACACAGAATATAAAAAAATGTTTTTGAGCATTCTAATTTGAAGTCTTTGGGGAGCTATTTCATTTTTGCCATGCTGTTTCCATTGAAACCATCCTTTCAATATAGGTGGGTATAAAAAATACTTCACTGTTGAAATAACTCTTTTTCTTTCTCTAGAATTACTGTTCAATCACTGTAATGTGCAATTAGAAATTTCAGTTTTAAAATCATAGCTGATATAACTTTTTCTTCTTCTTTAGGTCAACATATTTTTAGCATTTCTTTTTTTTTTGTTTTTTGTTCAGATAGAGTGGGAGGGAGAGAGAGGAAGAGAGAGAGAGAGAGAGAGAGAGAAACATCGATGTGAAGGGACACATCGAGTGGCTGCCACCCTCACGACCAACCAGGGCCGGGGACAAACTGCAACCGAGGCACATGCCCTTAGCGGGAACCGAACCCGGGTCTCTCTGCACCGCAGGCCGACGCTCCAACCACTGAGCCAAACTGGCCAGGGCCTTTTAGCATTTCTTTATATATAATTTAACTTTGATGGATATCTATCTATCTATCTATCTATCTATCTATCTATCTATCTATCTATCTATCTCCTTTATATTCATATCACATAAGCTTATCATTATTGGTCATGCAACCAGCTTTAACAACTGGTGCATATGCATTCATAACTTTCTCCATTCCTATAAAATTATACATACACACACACACACACACACACACACACACCACACACACACACAAATTAACTCCTAATAAATTATATATTATGAAGTTAATTATTGATTAAATACACATATACATATATATGATTATATGTCTATATGCACATGTATGCATATATGTAATAATATACCATATGTGTGTGTGTAACATATATACATATAGTGTGTATGTGTACTTATTCAAGAGTTAATTTGTCATTGTTCTATAAAGACAGGGTCAGATTATGTATACTTCTCTATGTCTTGCTTTCTTTGCTCTACATTACATTGTAGAAATTTCTCTATGTCAATAGTTACTGCTTTCACAACAAAAAAAAAATTATAACTAATCTTTCTACCAAAGAATGACAAGTTTTTAAAAATGGCACCGATTGCCTAAGCCCACAGACATGAAGAAACTCAGACTGCTTTTTAATGTCTGGAAGGTTGATTGTAGGAAAGGTTAAGTGTGATAGAGGTCTGGCTTTCAAAGCTTTTCTATAATTTTAAATTAGCATTTCTTTTAAAAGAGAAATGATCTATGTTGCCAATGAAGAGGTTTTGGATCTATGGTTTATATCCTAAGTGACTTTCTATAACTAAATCTGGCATATGGCAGCTTTGACCTGGGACCCAGGTTTTTCTTGTGATTTCATTACATAATTTTCTTTTTCTCATACATATTTTACATATTGAAACTTATCTGGGCCAGTTGTGGCTTTGAGTCATTGCTTTGCTCTTTATATTAACTGATCAGAAATTATCCAGAGAAGTCAGTGTTAGGCTGTTTCAGCAATGTAGTAACAGAATTTCTCAAGCTAAGATCTAGGCCATACCAGAATGATAGATGAAAAGGGCAAACATGGAAGCAGCGGAAGACCAGACCACTTTTAGGTCTTGCTGACCACACAGTAGCAACTCCTGAGCTCTTCTGTTGTAGTACTGACTATAAGATCAACAAGAAACAGGACATCCTCTCATTCAAACTACTTACAGACGAAGTGGACTCTGCCGCCAGTCTTGCCGCGTACCTGGCAATCAGCCTGTGTTCTTCATCAAGCCGGTTTGAACTCTCAAGCATACTATTGAGAACAGAGCAAGAACAGGCAATGAGAAAAATTGATGTATTCACATTACTGCTAGGGGTTTTGCTATTTCAATTTTTCAGTGTAGAAATTTGTAAGCTATATAAAACCCTGCTAGGTTAATAATGTCAGACTTGGGTTCATAACTAAATCCATAACCTGAATCTAATATGTGGCCAGGAAGGTCATTAATAAATCCTGTCTTCATTCAATTCAATTGTCTTACTAAGAAAGCTCCAAAGAGAATTGACTGTTTTGATTAATATTTCTGATAAAAGAACATTTTTTCTTTAATTTTATTGCTTTTCCTTATTACACATGTAATATATGTTCAAAATAGACATGCTAGAAAATATGGAAGCTAGATTAAGAAAACAACAACAACAACAACTGTGGTCAGTCTGTAGTGACCCCCATCTCCTGGTATTCATACTTGTGTGTAATCCTCTCCCTTTAGTATGGGCTGGATTTACTGACTTGCTTCCATTGAATACAATACGGCAGAAGTAATGGACTGTCACTTCCAAGGTTAGTTTGTAAAAAGATCATGGCTTCCATCTTGGGTATGTTTTCTCTCTCAAGCCCTTCTGGATTGCTTGCTCTGCGGAAAGCTAACTGCCATGTCATAAGGTGGCCTGCGGAAAGGCCCATGTGATGAGGAACTGGAGCCAGCCAGCACCTTGTGGGCAGAACCTTCAGATGAGATCACAGCCCCAGCCAACAGCTTGATGGCAACCTCATGAAAATCCTCTTCAGACACAGGCACCTAGCTATGGGAGAGTAGGGGGTTGGGGGGACCTGAGAATCTGCCTTTCTAACAAGCTTCTGAGATACACTGACACTGCAGGCCCAAGGACACTCTGAATAGCAAGGATCTACAAGATCTTGAAAATAAAATGAAAAGTCTAAACCCATGAAATAAACAGCAAATGTAAATAATATAAAATAGATCATTTTTTTCATGAGTATTTTATTGATATCCATATAGCACATGTGATTTTTACAAACATCCTCTTATGAGAGAAAATTTTAGGATCTCAGGCTGACATATGTATAGTCTCGATCCTGGTGGATGGGATTTCAATTAGCATATAAAAGACTTGTGGTAAGAAAATACTTTTAATAGTGAAAGGAATTAGTTCTGGAAAATTGATGCTTTAGAGCAGACGTTTGCCTTTCTAATACAATATAGGGTGTCCCAAAAAATGATACACCATTTTGAATAATTATAAAGCCAGTGTTTATTAAAGCACACTTCATTTTCAAAATGTAATACACCCTACAGACACCCTGTATATATTTTTGGGGGGACGCCTTGTACGTGCACTCTGCATGGCTAAAAACAGTAACTAAATTTCTTGTTTCAGCTTTAATGAGTAAGGACATAAAACTACCCACAAAGAAACGATTTAATATGATTTTAACACATTTTTCATTTCTGGCTGGTGTATTAGTGACTATAAGCCTAATTAAACCCTGTGTAGACAACAGGGCACGTTGCTCCAAGCCCAGGTCAATGATTTGTTTGACTGCCCAAAAGTGACTTTGTCAAAAACATTTGTGAGTGTTTTGATAAATAAATAATTAAAAAAACCTTGGGGAAAAAAAAACACACACAACAAACCTCATGATAAAGTGTCTTTTATCATGAATGACCAGTAAGTATAAATAATATGAAGGTTACATAAAAAAATTTTTCTGGAAATGTAAGACGTGAAGTTATGGGATTCTGTCTAGTAAGCAATAATTCATACTTCCATGCCTTTCCTCCCCCCAGCACTGACTGAATGAGGGGTGGCCTGATATATTACCCCCTTGTGCACACAAACGATTTACGAGTCCATATGTGCCATTTCAGTATGTTCAAATTATACAAGGGTGAATGAGGCATTTCTCTGATAAATTCCATTATTCCAAGACTTCAATTACAAATAGTTGAAAATGAATAGCCAATAATCCCTAACTCATTAAAGAAATACTGATTCCAACATTTTCTCTATCCTTGGATATTCATTTCAAGACTTGATAATCAGTAATGCTACAAGACTATGATGAATTAAAAAGTGGCTGCTGTGTAGACTGAATCTTGTGTAGGAAGATCTATTATTTTGAAAGTTCTCCAGTTTCTACCTTAAATACATGGCCAGGGGCTGTTGCTAGTGATTTGAAAATGGCATTCTTAGGAGACTCAAGTGACCCCAGCTAAACTATGGTTTACTACATTGTAATTTAGCAAAGGCTTCTGGGAACTCAGTGCTTAGTCACATTTTTTGTTTGTTTGTTTCTCTGCAGGCCTGTTCTGATTTCAGGATGGGAAAGTCAACCAAATAATGCTATCCGAAGGCCACCAGAAATACTTGTATGTTTTCCCTTAATATATTTTTTTTCCACTTGTCAAAATGGTGATGGGAATTTTATCACTAGAGATTAATTTTTAAGGTGATTAGGCCTCAGGTACTACTCTTCTATTAAAATGCAAATAGCTAATAGGAGGATTAACTGCCTGAGAAGGTATTAGTTAACACTAACTGGAAGATTACTTCATGAGGTTATATCCTATATTTTGCAGTTGGTTGAGAGCAAAACACTATGGGATAGAGACCTGCTCAGGCCTTTAAGAGTCAGTGAGCAGAAGAGTCAGGGTGGAAAAGAATAAAGTGATACTGGGGTCCAAGAACTGAAGACTGAGGAGGGAAATGAACAAACTCTCAAAGCTTCAACTGATGGCTCTTTAAAGGAAAAGACAAGAAATCGTGAAATGGTAATCTTCATGGATAATAATAATAACATCAGTGTAATAATGGCTTCTCTATAGGGATGCCCTCAAACTCCTTTATTGAGACCTTGACTTTAATAATTCACTATGTTATAATCATCTACAAGGCTATGCATTCTATCTTCTACAAACTCTCAAATTCCCCCACTTCCTTCTATTCCAACTGTCACTGATGTGCTCCAGGCCACTATCCTCTTATCCTGAATTAGAGTAAAGTCCTCTCAAACAGGTTACTCTGACTTTAGACTTTTTCTTTCCTCCAATTCATTTTCTATCCTGTAGTTGGTGATCTTTTAAAAATGAAGTTGGCTGTAACATTCCTATGCATAAAATCCTTCAATGGGTTCTCATTTTGGAAACTCCTAAAATAAGACGTATAAGGTCCTGCATAACTTAGATTTATATCTTTTACTCTGGTTACCCTGGTAGCTTTACCACATTTAAGCTCCTCAGATGGACCATATTCTCTTTGCTCTGAATAATCTCTCTGCCTCTTTCATACGTGTCCACCTGGCTAATTCCTCTTCATACTGCTATTGGCTATAGCTGCCATTTCCTACCCTCACCTCCAACCTCCAAATTCAAGTTCACAGCTTCTCATAAGCAGTCTGCACTGCACTACCCTTATTATAGCTGTTATCATTTTGCATTTTAATTGCCTTTTCACTTCTTTATCCTTCACTAAACTATAACGTTTTTGAAGGCAGAATGGTTCAATCTTTTCACCACTAGATTTTAAGTGTTTAGCCTAGTGCTTGGAACACAGCAAGAACTACCTAAGAATTAGGCAAAAGGATGAATAAAAGTTGGTTCTCTCAGGCTGGTAATGTTGTGATCTTTGGCCCACCTCTTCTATGTCTTTCTGGGCTCTTTGTGCATTCTCAACACTTTAAAAAAACCAGAGTAATACAAATGAAATGTTGTACTTTAAAACTAGCCATGCCATCTAAAATTGAACTGTGAAATATTCACTTTGGGCAGAGTTAAAAAATCAAGATACATTGTATGGCTGCATACATGATTCCTTATCTGCTTTCTATAGGTGTTAAAGTTCATAGACATGTCATTTTGCTCATTCATATTTATCAACATCAGATCTTCCCCACCCGTAATCATGGCAAATTCTCTTTTGGTTCACATTTTGCTGTTGCTTTAATGATTAGGAAAGCAGATGATGTTTGAAAGAGGTAAGATCCCACTCAAAAGAAATGTGAACTTTTAGAAGCAGTTGACAACTAGTAGGGATGTTATATAAGTGGGGGTGGAAGGTTGGGCTGGATCATTTCTGGATTCAAACCATAGCCCTCTCACTTATTAGCTGTGTGACTCAGGGCCTTAACCTCTTGTTGCCTCAGTTTTCTAATCTATAAAATAGGGATACAATGGTAACTTAACCTTATGGCTTCCCAGGAGGAATACCATGTAAAGTGTTTAGAGCGGTGCCAGGGCACATGGCAGGACTCTATGTGAGAATTCTTTTTACTCTTTCCTCTAAAAATTAGCAGGTAACACTGTCTTCGTATGACATTTTTGCACCATAACTTCCTTATTTCTAAATTAGCTTTCTGCTCATGCAAATGTGATTGGTTACTATTCAGTGTTCTAGGTTATACCAAAAAGGAGAAAGACAGTTTAGTTGAATCAATGTTTACAGAAGCAATAGGTGGTCTTCATATCTCTGATTTCCTAAACAAAGGGAGGAGTTAGCTAAATAGTGATGGCCTTCTCTTCTTTCTCCTTGCTTCTGTAAGCAAAGCTGCACACTGCCACACATTTTTTTTTTTATCAAAATGTCCTTTTTATACAATTTATCAAAAAATATATGAGACCATGTTCCATTATTTTAGCACATTTGGAGAAAGTGTACTCTGAAGTTCATCCATTCAACAAGACTGAATATACATTAGCTATCAGTTTTTTTTTCTACTATATTGTAATGGACAGGTTTTGCAAAATGAGATTTTTAAATCTAACTTTATAGATGCCTTCAGCGATATTCAAAACCAAGGAAGGTACTAACCTTGAGTTTTTCCATGTGCCCACCACTACACTAGCTAACTTAAATCTATAACCTCATCAGATTGGCAGTGTCCCTCTCATTTTCCATGGACTCTTAAAATGTATTAGAATCTATAACAGGAAAGGAAACAGATCTTAAAATCAATTTATCATATAATTATGCTGAGAAAACCTCTGTGGATACAATGCAGCCAATGTAGAT